CACGATCCCTGATCCAGGGTGCACCCAGTCTCCTATACCCCTGGAGGGGTCGGGAGGTGATGAGACCATGTCACTGGGGCCACTGCTAAAGGACATGTACTGAGTGCATGCACATACAGCACCTGGGCCCATCAGAGTGAGTGACTGAAACCCACGTCCCTCTCACTCAATCCCAAAGGGCAGGTGGAAGTCTCACTGAGCCTTTATCCTCCGCTTCTCTCTAGGTGCTGACCACATGCTCCCTCCTCCTGACAGGCTTCCTCCATGTTGTGGGGGGCAGCGTGAAGTGTGGCCCCCTTGCCCAACTGGTAAGGGAGGGAGGGGGGGAATCCTGGCCTGTCTGTGTGTCTTGGTGGAAAATCCCAGCTCAGCATTGTGATGGCTCAGGTCTGAACCCTGGGGTCAGAAGGCGGGCGCAGTAGGGCTGAGTAAGTCTGGACCTCACGTCCCTGCCGGGGAGCAGAAGAGGGCATGGCACAGGGACTGACAGCTCATCAGGAGACATGGAAAGGAGGGGCCGTACTCCAAAGGCGAGGGGTGCTGTTACCAGCAAACAGGGAAGGGATGCTGAGCAGTCGAAAGTGACAGATGGCCACAGCAGTACTACCACAGGACCGGACAGCTGGGGCCTATTAGAAAGAGTACTTAGAAATAATAATAACAGCGACAAGAGTAATAATAGTTTCGAGTATGCCACGCAAGTACTCAGCATATATTGTCCCATTTACGCCCAGAATCGGAAGACTCGGGTTTGAGACTCAACTTGACGATTTACCAGCCCAGAGTAACCCCCCGAACCCTCTGACTCTGTTTCCCATCTCTAAATGGGGAAGAACATAGCCCCTCTTCCAGGAGCTGTTGGGGGCTTCTCTGTCAACTCGGAAAGACAGAGAGGTAGAAGTTCTCGGTCCTGTTTGCACACTGGTTCCAAGTGGAGACAAGGAACAGGGAGATGCTTGGAGCGAACCAGAAGGTGTTCAAGGCCAAGGAAGCAGCAGGCTGGCTTCCAGTCTAACTTGGCAGCAGGAAAAGGCCCCCCTGGGGCACAGGAAGCCCTGTTCTGGGACCACCCCCCTCCCTGGCATGGCCACTCTCCCCGCTCCCCTCTGGAAAAGAAGGTGAAAAGAGGAGTTAATGGATTACAGGGCCAGGCAGGAAGAAGAGAGGATTTTTCATCTTAAAATGTTCTGAAATAATTCATATTTGCTTTGTAGGACGGCGTTGTGTGCTTGTCAGCGCTGTAATAACTTCTGGGCCTTTATTTATTGTTTTGCCTTAATGATTTCGTGTTGCTCTGGTGTGGAGAATTTGCAGTGTCTTGTAACACATAATGGCAGAGAAAGCCCAGCCCGGGGAAGGCCCTGGTGGGAGGGGGTTATGCTCCCACCCCCACCCCCAGCCCAGCTCCTCCCCCTCCCCCTGGAGATGGCAGAGTCTCCTGCGGGAGACAGCCATGGTCAAGGTCTATGGAAGGTGCTTTGTCGTGGAGAGACAATTCTCAAACCCCCTGTGGAGTTGATCCTGTAATCCCATTTTACAGAAGTGAAAACTGAGCTCTAGAGAGATTGCAAGGGTTGCCGCCTGACTTCGCGCGATCAAGCTAGGATTTATACACGGGGTTGGGAGGCTTCTGGCCGGCTCAGTCCATGGAGCGGGCGACTCCTGATCTGGGCGTTGACAGTTTGAGCCCCAAGCTGAGTGCAGAGATTACTTAAAAATAAAATCTTTTTTTTTTTTTTTTAAATAATAATAAAACAGGGTTGCCTGGGTGGCTCAGTGGATTAAAGCCTCTGCCTTTGGCTGGGTCATGGTCCCACGGTCCTGGGATCGAGCCCCACATCGGGCTCTCTGCTCCATGGAGAACCTGCTTCCTCCTCTCTGCCCACTTCTCTGCCTACTCGTGATCTCTGTCTGTCAAATAAATAAATAAAATCTTAAATAATAATAATAATAATAATAAAACACAGGTCTGTTGTTTTCCAACCTTGTGGACGGATCCTGGTGGGTCTTCAACGGTGGGATGTGTAGGAGTCGCCTGGGGAGGATTTCTAAAATACAGGTTCCTAGGACCCAACTCTGGAGATTGGGCTTGAGTAGATCTCGCATGGTGCCAGAGGCTCTGTATTTACCCAGCTGCCCAGATGAAGCTGGAGGACTCTACTGGTGGCTGAGGACACACTAGTCACACAGTTGGCCCCTTTTCCTCAGGAGTTGTAGTCCCACCCTCGTCCGGCTCTCTCACAAACATTCCCATCAGCCGCTCCAGTTTGCCTGTCATTCTCCATCCTGTATCACTGAGAGCTCAGACTCCCCACCAGACCCCTAGCCCCTTCAGTGAAGCCAGGAAAGGAAGGGGAGGGGAGGGAGGATAGGCTTTCTTGGTTGCCATGGTGATTCTCCTCCTCCCAGTCTGTGGGGGGAGGCAGTTTCATTGTGAGCCTCCAGCCAAGGCCTGGAGGGAAGCAAGCTGTCCTGGGCAGGGAGGAGGCAGAGGGGTGGGAAGAAGGCTCCAGTCACTGGGGAGAGGACAAGAGGGGAAGGAGGGGTAGGGAGCAGGGTTGGGGACCCTGGGCCCAGGGCAGCCAGAGCAGAGAGCCAGCCCCTCCAGATTCTGGGGCCTCCAGACTTCAGCTGGGGGTGGGGGTGTGTGCAGGAGCCGAGGCTGACAGGGCCTGATGCTTCCTGAGCCCAGAGCTGGCAGGAGCCCCCAGGCAGGTGGTGACAGAGATGCAGGGATGGACGAGACAGCCAGAGGCTGGCACAGACCAGAGTCCGAGCCGCAGGGCTGGGGAAGACCGGGGCTCTGAAAGCAAAGAGGGGATACGGAAAAACCAAACGAAGTGGCAGAGCCCTTCGCAGACCCCAGGCTGCAGCCTGCTCCTACCCCTAGGCGGGCCAGGGCTGGCACAGCCTGGGATCCCAGGCTGCTGGGCAGGGCTGGGCTGGGCTGGGCTGGCAAGCAGGATGGCACAGGCTGTGGCTGAGGCAGATGGAGCGAGGAGGGGGCCTGACCCCAAGCCCACCAGGGAATAGCTGGGATTGTCTGTTCTTTGGAGCCCTCCCTCTACCCCCCACCCCCAAACCTCCCAAGCCTCTGGGAGCGTGGCTAGGGAAACGGGAAAGAAAGAAGCCACATTTCAGAGCCAGCGTCTCTACCTCCTCCTGCTCCCTTTGGCTTTCTTTCCCTGCCCATGGCACGCACTGCCTGCTCCCAGCCTGGCTCTGGCAAAGACCAGGATGCTGTGAGGTGCGGAGGGAGCACAATGGGGCGGAGAGGGAGGAGGAGGGACAGAAGCCTGGAGCAGAGGAAAGAGGCCCGGGGCGGGGGGGTGGGGGGCGCCAGGCCCCTCACCACCACGTGGTCATGCCAGGCTCCATGGAGCACTTTACCTGTATTCACTTACTCAGTCCTCACAACGGTCCCAATGAGTGGTGCTGGTCTTCTCAGCCCCGTCTTACAGATGAGCAACTGAGGCAGAGATATGGGGAGTGACCACCCTGAGTTAGTGAGCTGGGAATCGGCAGCGGGAGGGTTCAACCCATGAGGGGTTCAAGTTCATGCTTAGCCCCCTCACTCTGTCGCCTTTTACCCCTCCCTCACATTTTTAGTCTTTACATGTCTTTTTCCGTTTTTCCCTATCTTTTCTGGTTGTCTCTCTACCCAGCCGTTCTTCTCTGTGACAGCACGTTCTCGTCGACCAAGGTCACCACGCCGATGCTACCATATGAATGGCCTTAGGCAGAGACATCCGTGTATGAGTACATGGACAGTCACGGGGACGCTTACATGTGTGACCACTGGGGAATGCGCTGGCATGTGAGTGGATGTGCACGCCTCTCCATGGTAAGCACACACCTCCATGGGTCTGTGTACACACGCACAGTCCGTTTGCATGTGTATCCATCATATGCCCCACACCCTGGGTAGGTCTCGAGTGTTCTCACCAACAGAGCATTAAGTGTGGCAAAATAATCCCAAACAATAGTTGGGCCAAAAAAAATCTGTTTGGCTTTGCAGTAAAGAGCTGCTTGGCATATGGGGTTTTTGGCAATACATTTACCTTTCTAGGTTTAGCTAGGGCTGATGTGACTTCCCGAATGTCTGCGGCTTGGCAGGCCCGGGTTCTGGGTAATCAGCCCCGGAGAACTTGCCAGATGCCAGGTCCACAGCAAGGCACCTACCAGACCTTCTCGCCCATCCTCAGAGCGACATTTGAGGCAGGTCTAGCTGTTCCCCTGTCATAGGTGAGGGCCTGACGCTCAGGGACTTGCCATTTGCGCGGTCACACAGCAAAAGGGAGGACTCGAACCCCAGGTCAGCCTGAGGGTCTGTAAAGCTTGAGTGCCTGCAGGTGGGTTGGTGAGCCAGACATGTGACTTCCCAGGCGTGCCTCATCCGTCTGGAATGCGGCTGCCTCACCGTCTGGTCACGTCTGGGCCCCTCTTCTGCGGCCAGGCTGGTGGGCGTGGATGGGCTGCCGTGGGCTCGTGCAGAGAGCCACTCTCCAGAAGGCCCCACACAGGCTATGCGCAAGTAGAGCTGCGGAAGTCTTTCCCCCCCGCTGATGATGAGGGTAAAAATGATGGCTTAGATGATACAAACACTGGACAGACTTACCCACCACCTAGACTTAGGCCTATGTATTCCTTTAGCATTTCTTGAATACCTAGTATGTGTCTGACACTTCCCCAGGGCTCTGAGGACAATACAAACAGGAATCAAGCGTGAACCCTGCCTTCCTTCCAATAGCTTAGGAGAAGAGTTTTCAAGTATGGAAATGGCTTTACTATCAGGTTCAAAGAACCTATGTGCTGTAAAAGAATTGCAGATAAAAAGTGAGAGACCACTTCCAGCTCGAGACATCAAGGACGCCCTCCTGGAGGAAGAGGTGTGTGATGAGGCTTAAAGAGTGCCAATGACTTGTGGCCGTGGAGGAGAGCGGTTCTTGATTTCCCAGGAAGCACAGTCCCGGGCACATCGGGATAGCGGCATGCAGGAAAGCGAGTAGTTCCATTTTCCTGTGGGGAAGACCAGGAGCAGGGAGGGGTGGGAGGTAGATCGGGGTCAGAAAATAGGAGATCCTGAGACCAGGCCAGGGAGTTTGGACTTTAGAGACAATAGGGAGCCATCAAAGATTATTGAGTGGGGGCGGGGGACGCGGGGGAAGGCCTCAGGAACTAGGTTCATCTGGGAAAACAAAACGGCAATTGTGAGCAAAGTAAATCGGAATCGTCCATGTATGTTGGCCTATGCATACGTGGGCATCCCAGGACATGTAATGATACGTGTGTACGCAAGTGGACAGGCCCAAAAGACTTCTATTTTTTTTTAAAGATTTTATTTATTTGAGAGAGAGACAGAGATAACAACAGAGATAGCAAGAGAAGAAGGATCCCCACTGAGCGGGGAGCCTGATGTGGGGCTCCATCCCAGGACCCTCGGATGGTGACCTGAGCTGAACGCAGGCACTTAACCCACTGAGCCACCCAGGTGCCCCCAGCTCCTTTTAAATTGTGAATTGTATTTGTTTATTTGAATAGGTAGTAACTTCGTCTGACCTACAATTAAAGGAATCTAAGAGAATACACAGAAAAGTAAAGCTACTCCTAACACCATCCTCCACGATCCCAGTTCCTCTACTGAGAAGCAAGCATGGTGGCTGCCTTGGGAGCTTCCTTCCAGAGATGTTCTTAGAGAGACAAGCAAATATCTAGATGTGCTCTTTATTATGCACACTTTTCTACACCCTGCTTTTCTCACTTAATAAGATTAATATCTTGGAGGTTCTTACTGATCGGTACATGGAGAGCTGCCCTGATCTTCTTAACACCGATACACTATTCCATGGTAGTTAGACATCTACATTATTTCTGGGTTTTGGCTCTTACCAAAAATTTTGCAACAAATAATCTTGGATATGTGTCCTTTTCCATATTCATTCATTCATTCATTCATTCAGTAGACATTTTTTGAATATCTACTATGTCCTGGGCAGCAATCCAGGTGCCAGAGAGAGAGAAGTGAACAAAATAGGAGAAAGTTTCTGCCCTTGTTGAGCACATCTTCTGAACTGCGTGCGTAAGTCAGTCTTCAGGATACATTCCTAGAGGTGGAATCCCAAATCAAAACATCTCTGCATGTTTAAATTTTAGCAGATAAAGCCACATTTCCCCCCAGAGAGATTTCTCCAGTTTGCCCCTGCAATATAGGAGAGTGTCTGTTTCCTCTCCCTTGACTGACAGAACGTTATCACACTTTTTGATCTTTGCCAATGTAATTTGACAGGTGAAAAATTTTGCATTACTCTTATGATGAATGAAGTTAAACATCTTTTCATATATTTAAGAACAATTTTCAGGTCCTTCTCTGTCAATTTCCTGCTATCCTTTGCTCCTATTTCTTTCAGGTTGTAGATCTTTCTCATATTGATTTGTGGATTCTCTTTATCTATTAAGGAAATTAGCCCATGATATGAGTTACAAATAATTTTTCCCTAGCTTGTCATTTGTGTTTGGACTTTGTTTATGGTAGGGTTTTTTTTTTTTTTCAAAGATTTTATTTATTTATTTGACAGAGAGAGATTACAAGTAGACAGAGAGGCAGGCAGAGAGAGGGAAGCAGGCTCCCTGCTGAGCAGAGAGCCCGATGCGGGGCTCGATCCCAGGACCCTGAGATCATGACCTGAGCCGAAGGCAGCGGCTTAACCCACTGAGCCACCCAGGTGCCCCTATGGTAGGGTTTTTTGAACAGACTTTTTTCCCCTTATTTTAGAGAGAGAGTGCAAGCAGGGGGAGGGGCAGAAGGAAAAGGAAAGAGAATCCCAAACAGGCACCACGCTCAGCACAGACCCCAACTCAGGACTCGATCTCATGACCCAGATCATAACCTGAGCTGGAATCAAGAGTCGGATACACCAGACTGAGCCACCCAGGTGCCCCTTGGCAGACTTTTTTTAAATGTAAAACAGAATTTAAGAAGAATTTTGCTCATTCCCAGCTTTGTCTCCCATGGTGAAATGTTTCCTAGGGTTGAGATATGGGCCCCAATAACTTGGTCTTGGATTCCAACCCGGATTCTAGGTTCTAGGCAAAGGAAGGTGATAGTCTTATCCTGTTCCAATACCCCATCTCAAGAGGTCTTTGGACAAAGGGGAACAAGCGCAGAGGAGGGCAAGAAAGAGAGTGAAGAGGGTTGAAATTAAGTCACATGAGGGATGGTGACGGGAGGGTGTCTTTGTGCCTGAAGCAGATTATCTATGAATATCGTCTTGGGCAATAGGCCTGGCCGCATGATACAGAACCTGGGTGGCTCAGTCAGTTAAGCATCCAACTCTTGATTTCAGCTCAGGTCATGATCTCGGTGTTGTGAGATGGAGCCCCGCATCAGGCTTACTGGAGGCAGGTGAAGATTCTCTCTCTCTCTCTGCTCCTCCCCACAACTTGAGCATGTACACATGCATGCTCGCCACTCTGCCTCTAAAAAAAAAGAAAGAAAGAAAGAAAATTTCCAGGCTGATGATAAGGGAGAGTTGGGAGAGAGGGAAAGGTGTTCCAAGCAAAGAGAATGGTATGTGTCAAGTTTTTGAGTCTTGAAAGATCTTCCTGTCTTCAGATGCCCAAAGCAGATGTAAAAGGCTTGAGGGTAAAATGCCAGGGTGGTGGGCAGCCAGGCAGGAGGTGAAACTGACAGCCAGTCTTTTAGGCAGGACCTACCGGGTTTCCAGATGAATGGGGTGTTGGTGTGCACTAGGATTTAGCAGGCTTAGCAACCTTCTTTCAAAGCCGCGCCCCAGATTGAGAGCTGGAAGAGAAAAGTGTGAGCTATAAATCCCCAGCTCCTCCTGCTGTGCCCGGTGCTGCAGAGCCGGAGTCTCCACAGCTCTCCAGTCCCACTGCTGCGACCCCGGCTAATCCAGCCTCCTGGCCCATCTGACACACACTTCCACTTAACATTTTGTTAGCGACTCTATAAACGAGCTCTCCCTGACCTTCAATCCCTGGCTAATTGCTGGTTTCATGTACAAGACTAGCTTAATTTTACGTGATAATTACCTGAGAGTGGCAATACATATGGCATTGCATGTTGGAAATGTCAGGCCTGGGAAACTACCAAGTGGCCGTAGTCGGGGGGGCAAAAGGAGGAGGCAGCTGGGTGGCGGGGACCTCGGAGAGGCAGCCAGGGAACAAGGCCACGAAGAGAGAGAGGGAAGATGCCGGGTGCAGTCTGAGCTCTGGAGAACCGGGACCCCAGCCTGCAGTAGGGCTCAGAACCCACTGCTGGCCCCGGACACCTAGGGGCACAGATCAAAGGAGCAGCTCATGCAATGCTCAGTCACACAGACACACACAAAGACACACACACGCGTGCGCGCACACACACACACACACATGCACACACACAAGCACGCACGCACATCATGGACAAGCACCTACCAGATTGGAGGCACCGCACATCCACGCTCAGTCGCCCACTCAACAAAGGCTCACGGAAGACCTACCATGTGCCAGCCAGTGTGTGGACACTTGGGCTGGTTTCGAATCCCCACTCCACTTAGAGGAAGTTGGAAACAGGAGAAGGGCGTGTTTGGGTTGTCACTGTTATTTGGAGATATGCTCCTGGTATTAAATAAGCAAGCCAGGAATGCTAAAAAGGCTTGCAGTTCCCGGTAGAGTCTCATCCGATAAAGAATTGGCCCACCCAAACCCAGTTAAGAAGCCCCACAGCTAAGCCGGGGCCATAGCCCTGAGGAAGCAGAGGGGACCCTGCCCTCTTGGGAGTTTACAATCTGGGGAGCACAACCTTGGCAAAGGGGTTGCTGTGCATGGGATAATAGGAGTCAGGAAAGATGACTCAGAGCATTTAGCAGATGAACTCACAAAGTCCGGAGCTCAGAAAAGACCTCCTTCAAAAGGGGCCATGCATGCCCCCAGTGTCTCCAGCTCGTGCATAGAGCAGTCCTTGGCATACCAGTGGTGTCTATACCACAGGCGCTATGCCTGGGTGCACACAGGGGTGCTCTACAGAGGGATGACCTGGGTTCCCTTTTTTCTCATCATCCTGGGGGATGGGGCAAGGAAGGTGGGCTCCAGGGCCCTGGGGTGGTGGGACAGGGGAGTGTAGGCCGAGAAGGAGAAAGGGTATCCCTGGCCAGCCAGAGAGGCCTTTCCACAGGAGGAACAAGTGCCCACCCACTCATGTGCACACCCACTCACACACACACACACAGGCCACAAGACAAAGCGAGAAGCACACTCTCCAGATTAAGGCAAATTTTAAAAACCCCTTTTGCCTCCTCACCCATAGAATTGTGGACTCCTGAGCTGTGTTGGAGTAAATTACTTGCTTAATGAGATTTCAATTAACAAAAACAAATTAAAATCATTTTGGTAATTAAGCTGCTGTGAACCTTGCCAGCAGCTCTCCCTCAGACCTCAGCTTTCCATGGTGAGGGAGCTGGGAATGGGGGGTCCACTCCACAATGCTGCTGAGACTGAAACAGGGCCAGGAGCTCCCTGCCTTGGGGACATCACCCCAGGAGCCACAGCTTCCTGGAGCCATTCTATGGGCACCAAAAATGTGGGTGGGAGACAGAGGCAGCACAGAGCATCCAAACTTCAGTTCAAATTGTAGCCCTGCCACTTGGCTGTGTGAGCAGGGACATGTAATTGACCTCTCTGAGCCTCAGTTCCCTCATCTGTGAAATGGGTATAGTAATGGTGCCTGCATCATTAGGTTATAGGAGAATTTAGTGAATGAATGCATGTACCCCAAAGGCTTTTAATCCACTTTTTCCTTTGTGGGGGGAAAGCCTCTCACAGGGCAAACTTTCCAACCTTGCATTTGCATTGTCCTGAATCCCAAAACACTCCCTCCCCCGCCTCCACACCTCCCTGCTCTGTCCAGTCCTGTTTTTCTCTGTTTAGGTAAGGAAGGATCTACCACCAAGGTCCCCTGGGAGGTGAGGATTCTGTCAGGTTCTGTCCCATTCAGGCCCTTATCTCTTTACATCAGAGGCAATAGCTAGGATCTGGGAGTTAGACATTTCTTCTCAGGTGGCCTGGAGAATACTCCTTTCCTGGGGTTACCAAATCACCCACACTTCCTACATGAACAGCCTAGAGAGTTAATACAAGTACCCATAGCCACATGGCACAGACGAGAAAACTGGCTTCAGGATGTACCCAGTAACAGTTCTCAGTGCTGGCAGAAGTATACATATTTAGTCTCATGAATTTTTAATAATAAACTTTTAGTTTTAATTTTTGAGTCACTGTTTGCTACCTCCATTCAGAAGGACTGAAACAGACATTTAAATTAAAACAGTATTATTCAGGGGCACCTGGGTGGCTCAGTGGGTTAAAGCCTCTGCCTTGGGCTCAGGTCATGATCCCAGGGTCCTGGGACCGAGCCCCACATTGGGCTCTCTGCTCAGCAGGGAGCCTGCTTCCTCCTCTCTCTCTGCCTGCCTCTCTGCCTACTTGTAATCTCTGTCTGTCAAATAAATAAATAAAATCTTTTAAAAAAAAACAACAGTATTATTCAACGGGGCACCTCGGTGGCTCAGTGGGTTGAGCCTCTGCCTTCGGCTCTAGTCATGATCTCAGGGTCCTGAGATCGAGCCCCGCATCCGGCTCCCACTCAGCAGGGAGCCTGCTTCCCCTCTGTCTCTCTGCCTGCCTACTTGTGATTTCGCTCTCCCTCTGTCAAATAAAATCTTTAAAAAAAAAAAAGTATTATTTGAAATTCACAAAAATAAATCCACAATAGATGTAAATAATTAAAGTTTTAAGTGATTTCTTTGGTTTTTAAAGTTTGGAACACATAATTTTGAAGTTGCTAGAGCAAAAATAGCATTAAGATTTTGGGATAGATATTCGTGTTACATGAGTGCATTTGATATATATAACATTTTATTTATACACACACACACACACATACACACACACCACAAATGTTGTTTCCTCTGTGGTGGCTGAAATTAAAGATGGCCTTGTTTTATGTGTTCATTCATTTGTTCAACAATTTTTTTTCATCCCATCTATTATTTAACTCAACAGCCCCTTGTTTAATGCCCGTGAAGTGCCACAATGAACAAGCCAGCCTTGAACCCTGGTTTCAGGGAACCTGTGGCCTGTTGATGAAGATGGACATGGGACACGATGCAGTAAGGTGAAGATTGCAGAAAAAGAAAGGTAGGGCCTTGGAAGCTTGTTACAGAAAAGGCAATCTTAGATGGGGGAGGCGAGGGGGGAAAGTCTGCCGTAAACACTTAATTTTTTGTAATTGGACCAAAAAGAATTTATATACATACTTTAATGAATCCAAGAGTCTCATAGCTAGCTAGTAACAGAACTGAAAGTAGACTGAAAGCCTTATGGTTCCCAGGCAAATTATTTTATTTTTTTTTAAATCTGACACCAATCCTCTGGATAATTTGAACAGCGTCCCGGTCTTGAGTGAGAGACATCCTAAGATGGGCAAAAGAAATCGGAAATCTCTGACTGAGATGGTCCCACCATCCATGTCAGACCATGGAGGTATCCCCATTCATATATCAATGTCAGATAGAGGAGGTCAACCTTGACATAACTTTGTTAGATGGAGGAGGTCAACATAAACATAATTTTGTCAGATGGAGGAAGAGTGTGTGTGTGTGTGTGTGTGTATGTGTGTGTGTGCGCGCGCGCGCACACGCACCAAACAGGACTCAGGCTGATGGGCGTCTCAGTCTCCAGTATCTTTGAAGGAGGAGGCTTAACACTGCTTGGTCTCAGCAGCAGCACCCTCCCCGCTAGGTGGCTAGGCCGATCTCTAGGGTGCCATTTCAACCCATGCTGGGAGCCAGGCCCAGGGAAGAACCTCCCAACAATCAGACTCTCTCGCTAACCTCACAGCCTAGACCCCTGCATATCCCTCTGCCCCTGGGGACGGGAGAGGACAGGGTGCCATTCTCCAAACACCCAGCTTGGGTGCAGGCTTTCCCCCACCTGGAGATGTCTCCAGAAGGGGAGTCCTCTCCCTGCCCAGACTTTACATGGTTTATTTTGCGCTGACTTCAGGCAACCAAGGGAGGAGGACACAGAGTTGTACTTTCCAAGTAGCTGGAAACCCTTAATCAATGTTAATTGGTTCTAATTAGCATATGTTAATTAATGATATTTACTACAAATTAAAGGTATGAGTGTTCCCAGAGGGTTTCCTGTTCATCCAATTAGTGCCAATTAGTTGCAATTAACACGTGTAAATGAGATTCCATTGAACCCAAAACAAACAGCACAGAATCTCTCAGATTCCCTTTTGCACCTTTTCAGTCAGCCAGGGAGCTCGGGGTGGAGGGTGAGAAGTGAGGGTGGGAGTGGGCAGAGAGACCCTTAGTCTGACCTGGAGTGAGATAGTGACTCTCTCTGCGTACCAAGGAGGAGAGAAGGAAGAGCCAGGCAAGCTGCTGGACCAGCTTGGCTGCTGAGGCACTGACCATGCTCCCAAGCGCCAGGGGCCATGCCTTGGGCCTCCCTGCACCTGCCAGGACCTAACCCAGTGCATGGCCTGTAGTAGGTGCTCAGTAAAAATTGGCTGAATGAAAGCTTGGTGCCTTTGCATCATCGAGGTCCCATCTCTGAAGTCATAAAACTAAAGGATGAATTGATTACGAAAACGTGTGAAGTTCTCTTCTCCACAAGTTCTTCCCAGGGACTCTCCCAAGGAGCAAGATAGTATTTCCCTCTGTGACATCATCTGAACGTCTACAGAGATATGACTCTACCACCAGTGTTGCCATTTCTGCATTTTAGTTCCTTTTCCCTTAACCACTGAGGCCCCAACCTCTGGCATGATGATAACTGGATAGAAAAACAGCCAGAAAGGGCTCCCCGGAACAAGGAAATGCTACTCCAAATTCTTCACTGTGCAGAGCCTTCTGTGAAAACTGTGATGTAAGATAAAGCCCCCAGTAAGTTTATTGCTAACTCGCTTTTGCTACACCAAACCTTCTCTCCAAGTTGACATTCATCATTTAATAATATTTATTCATCACTGTGTACCGGGCACTATTCCAGGGGCTGAGGAACAAGTCGTCTGCAAATTCCTGCCCCTCAGGGAGCCCATATTCCACTGTGAATTATCACGGATCCAGGGCCAGACACACTTGGGTTCCTATCCTGGTTCTGCCTCTCAGCAGCTGCGGAGAGGGAAGGGCTGGGTAGGGAATCTATCTGTGCCTCAGTTTATTTCCCTGTAACATGGGTAGAAGAGACCTGTCAGCTATCTTGCAGTCATGTTGTTAGGAAATTAAGCTTCCTCCTTTGTCCTATCTTGGTAGGCGTGAGGCAGAATTTGGAGTTAAGCCACAAGGAAGGTAGGAAAAAGGGAAACAAAACTCCCTCGGAGCCTACAAATCACAGTTTGATTACATTATCTCTATATCTGGATCTCTACACCCAGGCCGGCCACAAAAGTCCCTGCCATCTGTGTGTAGCACAGCCATAGCTTGTGGCCAGCCCACTCATCACCCCAGGGCAGGGAAGCAACGGGTTCAGGGAGGGGAAGTGCTTCTAGGGTCATATGCAGCTGCCTAGGCGGGAGCCCAGACCCTTGGCTCCTTTGGCACATTGTCCTTTATCCATGGCCTTTCTGAGTGACGAGAAACACGAATGGGGTCCAGAAAGGGTCACTCCAGCTGGCCAGGAGCAGGGACTGGTCCACCCCTGCCGGTACATGCCTGGCCCAAGGTCAACATCTACACATCCAGGCTCCTGCATGCCAGCTCAGCCAATCCCTCCACCCCACACACACGCACCCAGCCAGAGACCACAGCACCTATAGCTTGTGTCTCCTCCCTCACCATCTCGACTCTGCACCCCCATGGACTCTCAGGCAGAGTGTTTGATCATTTCACACTGACTCAGGGTCCCCTTTATAAAGCCAGAGAGTCTGCCTAGATAGTTCCTAAAACCATTTCAGAGCTGCAGTTCTAGGATTCTGGATATCCTCCGAAGAATACAGGTCCCACGGCTATAGTAAATGCCCCTACATTCACAGCTGATGGGCAACAGAATCAAGCCATCATTTCCCTCTTCCTTAGGGGATCCCTCTCACCTGTAATGGCCTCATGGGTTCCCCCAACACCACCTCCAGGCCTGTGCCATCACTCTCCATCATCCTCCACCTCCACCCCAACCTTCTCCTGCATAGTGATGAACCACCAGACATGGTCCCCAAGTCACCAGGCCTTGGAGAAAGTTCTCCTTCACTCTGATCAAATCTGAAGTCAGTTTGGAGGCCAGTGGGAGGAATGGAGCTGATTGAGTTTAATAAAAAGAGCTCAGCTGGGTGACCCTTCGGGAGGAGTGTGTGGAAATGGAAATCTGTGCTGGGGCTTCCTGGGGCTCCATATGTCTTTCCTATCACTGCATCCCACCCTGGGGGCCAGCAGGATATATTGTGGGAGTGGGGGTGGGGGGTTCTGGGAGCAAGTGAAAAAGACTTTCCTGACTGCCCTTCCTTCCTGCAAAAAATAAAAGCCCCACTCTTGTGTGCCCACCCTGCACCAGGCACAGCGCTAGGTCATTTACTCAACTTATCTATAATGAGAGAGGAGGGAATTTGCTCTGAGATCATCTCCAGGGGCCCTGAGCATCTTGGGCGGGGTCTGGCTAGCTTTGGGACCAATAATCTGCCCACAAAAGGCAGAGCAGATAGGTTGGGGTGAAAAACAAGGAAAGCGTGGCCAGCTGAGTCCAGGCCCCTCCTCTCTCTCCACCAGAGGGACACAGGCTTCGGGAGCCCACAGGGGACATAGACCCCGGGGGAGGAGGCTGACAATGGAAGTTTGACTGCAAGAAGCCAGAGAGGTACAGTGAGGTGAGGTGAATTCTCCGCTCTCAAGGACAAGGAGGTTGCCTACAAACAGGAGTAGTGGGGGCCCCAGAAACTCTGGGATGAAGCAAAGGGACACCTGCCCAGCGTCTCCTCTTTATCCCACTAATACCTCTTGGGAAGTGATATCTCTCTAAAGCCAAAGTTTCTGCGATGAGACTTAACATGGCCACTTTGGCGGGGGTGGGGGGGACCTCTGCTCCAGGAATGTAACAACAGAAAATAATTAAGGTCTAATAAGGTCAGCGTTCCACCTTAACACCTTTTCAGTTCCAGTTAAAACCTCTACTAATTTGCCAAGAAAAGCCAGCCTCACTGGGGTCTTATTATTTGAATCACGTCCTGTCTCTTAATTTAAACGAGAGCCTCACATAAGGATTTTTTTTATTTTAAATTACAATGCCGACTTTCTTCCAGTTGATTACGGTATATGACTCTCTGTTGGAAGGCCATTATTTTTTGCTATGATTTACAAAGCATTTAAAGTGAAATCAATGTAATAAATATTGAAGTATTGTAATAGATAATTCCATATATTTAACTAGAGACACAGCACAGCCCTGGTCTGGGCAGCAGGGAGAGGAGCAGGGGAGAAAATGGGGTGGGAGAGTGACCTGGTATTAATGCGAAGGGTGACGTCTCCGCTTTTCTCCTGGATTCAGTTGGCAGGATTCACTGAGTGCTCCCTGAGGTCCTGTACACTGGATGAAGGACTGTGGCGAGTTGTGGGGTGCCCCGGCCATGTCCTCCGGGCACCACAGACTCTGGAGAAATTCCCCTGCAATGGAGGGGACCAGAAGTGGAGAACATCAGAACCTGTGTAAGAAGCTTGGGGATGGGAAGGGGGTTCAACAGAGAGAAGAGGCCTCTGGGGAAGGGAGTGGTGGGAGAAGTCAGGAAAGGCTTCCCAGCTTCTCCCCTTCTTCCCATCCCCTACTCAGCTTCTTCCCTCTCCTTCCCCTTCCCCATCCCCGTGTCCTCAGGTCCAAGTCCTTCTTTGGGTGGAGCTCTCTCTAGACCTCTGGCTGTAGCTCTGCTTTGAGGAAACAAAGCAGCATTCACAGCCCTGAAAGCTCAGGATGGGGGGAGAGGAGTGAAAGGGGAGAGGGTGCACCAGTGTGACCTCGTGGGACAGACCCTCCAGCAAGGAGATGGCCACATGCGGAGCTCTGTGCACAGATTGAATCAGCTTTGCAGCTGCTTGCTCCCTGTCCTCAGGGAGCTGGGCTGGAGCATAGCACCCACAGTACAAGCCAAGGCAACGTCCCCAACTGGGGCCTACTTTACCCAGGGACAGGAGCTTTGGTGTCTCTTAAAGGCAGACTTTAAGCTGTCCTCCTACCTGCCTCCCCAATTGCAAAAACTACCCACAAGCAGGTTCCTTTCCAGCTGCCCCATGCCCCATGGGGAGCCCCCTGCTTCTTCCCATCTTTGGAGGGTCACACATCTGCTCCCAGGAAGGCTCTTGCTCCCAAGTTCCTGGATTGATTCAGAAATTCACACAGCACCAGTGAAGGAAGCACACAGGGGGCACCAGCGTGTGGGTTTGTCCCCATCACATGCCTCAAGTGCAGGTAATACACTCTGTCCACAGAGCCATTCAAGTGCCACGGAGGTCTTAATAAAGATTTTGCGGTCTATACGCTGCAGGCTTGCGATGGAGCGTGGCTAGTGCTCACGCACGCACACACACACACACTTACACGTGTAGCGGGTCTCAGAGGAGGAAGATGTATTGTCCCTTGCCTTCCCACCCCAAGCCTGAACCCAAGCCCCAAGTCCCTAGCTCTGTACATTTTCCACCATAAATCCCAGGAGGGGACATGCAAAGGAAAAGGGAGCAGAGAAAAGAGATTTACAGCAAACTTGCTTCCTGGCACCTCTTTGGTCCATCCCATAAAATAACAATATCACCAGATAAATCACACAGAGTCTCAGGGGACCTTACCTTTGTCCTTGTGGGGTCTTTGGAGGAAGTCAGTGGGTCATGGTCAGAGGATCGTACCCAGCTGGGTTCTCTTTGGCAATATCAGCCCTGTACAACATGGGGCGGTGGGGGTGGGGGTGTGTGACTCAGGTCGAATCCCTGGAGCATCGAGGGGAGGGGCTAGAGAATAGGGTGAGGGTAGAGAACATTGGCTGTCATCATCCAAGAGAGAACGTGGCATGAGCAAATCCCATCTCAAAACCCTAGCTGTGTGACTTTGAGCAAATTACTTAACATCTCTGGGCCTTGATTTATGTCTCTGTAAATGCAGGCCATAGAATATCCCCCAGACAGGATATGTGTGAGGAGTTATCAAGAACAACATACGTCAAAGTTGCTGGCATACACTCAGAATGTAGTTAACTATTGGAATCACAAGTGTTTTCCCTCCGCTAAGATACAAACCACCGTGGCGGTGTTCCCAGCAGAGGGGATCGAAGGTTGGCCCTCTCCAGAGAGACACCAGGCTGCCCCCAACCTTTGGCTGTTGTTTCCATGTTTGCCTGCGATATTAGAAAGGCAGGGCTCCCCGTTAACTCACAACGTGACTGTGAGCAAGTTTCTTCCCGTCTCTAGGCCTCAGTTCCCCACTTGTAAAGAAAAGGGATAGAAAACACTTGGTCTTGTGGCACCTGAGTGGCTCAGTGGGTTAAGCTGCTGCCTTCGGCTCAGGTCATGATCTCAGGGTCCTGGGATCGAGTCCCGCATCGGGTTCTCTGCTCATCAGGGAACCTGCTTCTCCCCCCTCTCTCTCTCAGCCTGCCTCTCTGCCTACTTGTGATCCCTCTCTCTGTCAAATAAATAAATAAAATCTTTAAAGAAAAAAAAAGAAAATACTTGGTCTTTAAGGCCCGGTCCAACATCACATCACCAGCCAACAATTAGGACCGATTCTCAGTGGGCACTGGAGCCAAAGAGGAGCAGGCAGGACAGAGGCTAGCCGTGAGGCCAGATGAGGTGGGCATGGGCATGTGGGCCGGAAAGAAGCAGTCACCACTGTGTGGAAGGAACTAAAGGATTTCAGCAGGCTGGTCATCGCAGCCCTGACCATCACGAGCAGGAGACCCCCTGGTTACAGCCCAGAGCACCGGTCTGTGTCCATGGCCTCCTAGTGCTTACCCTTCAGCCTGAGGGAGGGCTGAGTTCCTAGAGGTAGAGCTAAGTGGGCAGGAGGCCCCCTCCAGCCTCATCCCACACACCTGGGGAGACCTGGGCTTTCCTGTATCAGGGTAGCCCACCCCCACCCTCCTCCAAACCCCAGCCCTGTCTGGCTCCCCCAACCTCTTAAGCATCTCCCTAGTTCTTCCCAATTCTCTGGCCCCAGCCCTCCCTCCTCCTTTCCTTCCTCTCCCTTCTCCTATCCCAAGTCCCCTCTTTTCCTCTCCAGTGCTGCTGCTTGGCTTTATTTTCCTTCCTCTTCTTCCCGCCCCCCTCATTTCTTCCGTTCTCATCCTTCTCCTGGTTCTCCTACCTGCCCCTTCCTTCCTTCATTTTCTTTCCTTTAACTCTCGTTCTTGGAACCAAAGGTGCCACTATCATGAGGGAGTGACTCCCTGGGGGGCTGGGGAGCTGGAACAGAGTATGCTCTGGCCTGACCGACCCCCCACCACCACCCAGGGTCTCTCCAGCGGCAGGAGGATCTGGAGTTCACCCGCAGGGCAGCTGTCAGCAGCTCCAGAGACGGATGAGTGTAGGGGGTGGGGAGGCAAAGGTGCTGGGGAGGGAGACATCTTCAAATAAAAATGTGAAAGGAACATGCTGGATGAAATGATGGGCTGTTTTACAGTAAGCCCTGCCCAAGGCACCTCTGCCCTAAGACCCAGCCGTCCTGCCCCTGTCCCTGGCCCTGAAGTTTCCCTCAGCACACAGGCCCATCTGTGTCCCCAATCCTTTTGTTAGGCCAGAGAGCTGGAGACACTCTCCCCCACACACACACATACACACAAGTCCCCAGACCCCTGCCCCTCTCCCAGCTTCCCCATCTTCCACTGAGGGACAGGGATGAAAGGGACCCCTGGCAGACTGTTCTCAGAGTGATGTCTGGGCTGATGAGCGCCCCAAGGCTGGCAGGCCTATTAGGAGGCCTTTGTGGGGGAGGGGGAGTTGGGGGGAGGAGAAGGGATTTTCCATTCTCCAAACAACTGGATTACACAGTCAGGAGATCAGGGAATAACTTGCCGCTTAAGCTGCCTCTTCACAGCCCAGCCTCTGCCCTGGCTCTCACCCTCCCATTCTCAGCAGTGGTCTTAACCAGCCTAGCCTTGTCTGCTTTTGAGTTGTCTTTTTCATGGTCTGAGTCAGCCTTGAGGGCAAAACCAAGTCTCATCTCCTCCTACCCCCCAGAGCTATGACACCACAGAGGAGCTCAAAAGGGAACAGCTTGCCACTACCTCCACCACCAACCCTCACCTTCCATGAAGATCTCAGGTCTAGAGATGGATCCGGAGAGTGTGGGTCAGAGAGGTGAAATAACTTGCCCTGAGTCACACAGCAAACAAAGGGCAAGGTTTCCAGACTATGGCAGGATTTATGGGAGCATGTTCTCTACAAAGTGAGCCAGGTCTATGCCAGGGACTGGAAGGAGCCCTGGACTCTGATGTTCTTACTAGAAAGAGGTTTGCTCCTGAGCTTTCCTGAGCCCCTACCATGAGCTTTAGAGGGAAGGGAGCCCAGCTCTCATTTGGTTACTTAGGACCAGACCAAAAGCAGGTGGTGGAGGGGAGAGGAGGTGGTAAGGAGATTAGGTTTAAAGAATGCGAAGTATTAAGATTTGGCCCTAGCCTTACCACTAACTCGCTGTGTTGCCTTGGGCAAACCACCTCCCCTCTCTGAGCTTCAGTTTATCTTCTCTGCAAAATGGCAGTAACTTCTCTTTCAAAATTGTTTTGCAGGTACTGGAAGAGATCAGGCTTAGCACCTGGTATCTACTAGCTGCTCCAAGCAATGATAGGAGCAAGATTGTATTTCCTTTACCCTGAGCTGTGCCCACTCCCCAGAACAAGGAGCTCCACTGCACATTCGAGCAACTGGTTCTTCCCACTGGGAGGGCAAATCCATCATGTTTAGCAAACTAGTGCCCCACCCCGTGTAAGGTTATTGGGGGGTCATGCCCCCACAGCCTGTGTCCACTTTCTAGAAAGAGGCCCAAAGCTCCCCCCCCCAGCTCCATGTGGCACCTAGACGCCTCTTGCTGACAGAGGGTCATCTCTGACCTTCCTAATGGCCAACGTTCCTGCCAGCCAGAAAATTCTATGATCCTTTGACCTCTAAAAGCCCTGTCCTGCTAATGGTTTTATGATCTTCCCTAGGCATCCTCTCTGTGCCCTCCCTAACCCCCAACCCCCTTTCAGTAGGTCCTAGTCAAAATAAACAACATTTATGACCAGAGCAGGATTCAAGGTCTGCATTGCAAACAAATGCGGAGCCCTTTGAAGGTGCCTGGGGAATCCATCACATCCTGGGGTGTGATGCTCCCCAGGCCCAAGGGGAGGTAGGCCCTGGGAAGGGGCGCAAGCGTGGGAAGCTGGGCTCTGGCTCTGCATAGAGAATCTGAAGATCCTGTGCGGTGAGTGGGGCTCCCTCCCTAGCAACAGGCCTTCTGTCAGTGCAGGGGAGGTGAGGGGGAAGGAGGAAGGGTAGCTGCTGAGATCAACCACCTTTCGCACTGTATGTGCAGGCCTCCCTGGGGGCCAAGACCTGACTTGGCATGTCAGCAGGGGGGAAGGGGACAAAAAGAAAGAAGGGGGGAAAATCAAGAGGCAAATGGAAAAATAGCACGCGTGGACTGGAGACGTTAAGCTGAAACCACAGAGGTCTCAGGCCCCATCGCAGTGCCCACCTGGCACACTGGAGCAATTTCCCTAAAGAAGACTAGTCGGGGGCGCCTGGGGGCCTCAGTGGGTTAAGCATCTGCCTTTGGCTCAGGTCATGATCCCAGGGTCCCGGGATGGAGCCCCATGCAGACTCCTTGTTTGGGGAGTCTGCTTCTCCCTCTCCCTTTCTCCTGCTCTCTCTCTCTCTCTCAAATAAATAAAAGCTTTAAACAAACAAATAAATAAATAAAACTCGTCCAAACACCTTCAGGAGAAAATCAACCCAGCCGAGCCTGTCTTGTCAGCCAGCTGGTGGAGCTGAGGAGAGAGAGTGTGAGAGCAAACCGGCCACGGCTGATTTTCTCTGGGGGCAGGCACCCCAAACATCAACTCTGGGGAGTGATAGCATGGAGGCAGAAATGGAGGCTCTCTGTCTAGAATGAACTCTCCTGCTCCACCCTCACCCCCAGGTGGAAGGCTGAACCCCTGCCCCTACTCTCGTCATCACCCTTCAACCGGAAAAAGGGACCCCAGGCTGGCAGTCCATTCTGCCCAGCTCTGCCTTCCACCTGCCACGTGGATAAGGCACCCCAGCTAGGCTCAGCCTCCTTCAGCAGGTGTGGGGCCGCAAGCCGATGTGTTTTCAAGGGGGACTGGCTCTGTCTGGGGAACTGCTGTTGGAGAATATTAAGGTAGGATTCCCAAAGGCCCAAGTCTGACAGCAGCTTTCTAGGACACGCAGCTCAAGGCTTTCTTCAGCCACCTCGCCAGCCTCTAGAACTGGGGCATGGGCCGAGGGGCGGCTGTTCCCAGACTTAGAGCTGGGGGAGGGAGAAAACATTCCCCCACCCCAACCCTTTGGGGGCCTGTGCCTTAACATCTACTCTACTAACAATACTCTGCCACCCGCCTAGTTGGGTGGGAAACTAGACATAAAATATGGGCAGGTAACAAGGTTTCTATCACAGTGATCAGGCGCCCGCTTACAGCATTTGCATATATGGCATATAATTAATGTTTGATGAGTGAGGGTGTGAGAGATGGGGGATTGGAACAAAGATAGAAGGAAACAAAGAGACAACTGGAAAGGCGGACGTGAGTTTTTCCAGGATAGATAGTTTGTTCAAAAATTTTCCTTCTTGGGGCGCCTGGGTGGCTCAGTAGGTTAAAGACTCTGCCTTCGGCTCACGTGACGATCCTAGGGTCCTGGGATCAAGCCCCACATCGGGCTCTCTGCTCGGCAGGGAGCCTGCTTCTCCCTCTCTCTGTCTCTGCCTGCCTCTCTGCCTACTTGTGATCTGTCTGTAAAATAAATAAATAAAATCTTTAAAAAAATTTTTTTTTCCCTTCTTCTGGGGTGCCTGGGTGGCTCAGTGGGTTAAAGCCTCTACCTTTAGCTCAGGTCATGATCTCAGGGTCCTGGGATCTCTCGCATTGGGCTCTCTGCTCAGCGGGGAGCCCGCTTCCTCTTCTCTCTCTGCCTGCCTCTCTGCCTACTTGTGATCTCTGTCTGTCAAATAAATCAACAAAATCTTTTTTAAAAAATTTTCCTTCTTCCTAAATGGAAAGAAGAGTGATTTTAATGGCTTTGTAGGATCTTAAGCCAGTGAATCAGAACTTTCAGCAAAGTGCCCTGGTGCCCTGCATGGTGCTTTATATATTAAAAAGGTCCTCCAGAGCACAGAGTTTTAGGGCTAGAAGGGCCTTGGAGAGTATCTAGGCCAGTGGGTCTCAACATTGGTTGAATATAGAATCACCAGGGATGCTTTTAAAAAAAATAAGATGCTGGGCACCACCGCCACCCCCCCGCAAGAGAGTCTGATCTAATTGGTCTGGGATGGATCCCAGGTGTCTGTATTTTTTAAAAAGCTCCCCAGATGATTCTACCGTGTACCCACCATGGCTGAGAACCACAGGTCAGGGCCAATACTTCACTTTACAGAGGCAGAAAGTAAAGCCCAGAGAGCAGGTTACCTAAGCTCACAGACAACTGGCAACAGAAACAGGACCACAGAAGCCACTCAGGTATCCTGACATTTAAATGAGCAAATATAAGATTGATCTTCTTTTGGAGGCACCCCTAGCTGCAGAGACCAGCTACACAACCCCTCATCCCATCCCCTGGGGTTTCATGTTATTTTCATCAGAGGCCGGGCAGGCTGGCAATGTTGACGTTCCTTCTGGCCTTCCATTCTGGAGGCCTCAGGGCTCATACAGGGCAAACACCCAATTCAAATACTGTCCCCCAGGTCTGGAGCCTCCGAGAATAACAGGGCAGCTGGGACACTGTGGCCATATGGGGCTTGTCGATGGACACCACAGGTGGGAGGACGTGTGTACAAAGGTGCTCATGTACACAGATGCACACTCAGGTAGGAGGCTCCGTACAGGGGTGCTCGCATGTGAGAACACTTGTATCTGTGCATGTAAATATCATAGCTGTGTAATGTAAATATCCACCCATGGGATGGTCTGCATGTTCACAGCGGCGTCTGTTTACAGAGGGGTGGGAGACCCAATGTGTGACTCTAAAATGCAGGTGTGTGTGTGTGTGTCGTGTACACGTGCATAAACCTGGACCTACACTTATAGCATCGATGTTTACACCTACCAGTGGAGGCCCACCTGTGACAGTGTGTGTGTGGCCGGCCAGCCCTGGAAATATGTATGACTGGCAGCCTGTGGGCGCAGGGGGCAGGTTTACATGGCAAGAGAAGAGGTTTCTACTGCTTGCATCACATTCCTTCCAAGTAATCGCTGAGAAATACATGCGTCCAAAAACTCTATCTTTCATGCTTAAATATATCTCGGTGTATATAAATGAAACACGATATTGTGCCAGCTGAGATGCTACCCATTAATATTGTTTATCACTGATAGGATTAAATAACCCATGCAAGGCCCAGTAGCATTTCTTACAATTTTATTTAACACTGTTTCGGCCAAGCGGCACTTGGCAAATTCCGACCTATACACTCCAGATGACTGCAACCAGTGCATAATGTGCAGACCTTCATATACGACACACAAGAAGTATAAGAGAGGAGGGTCCCCCAACATTCTCACCATCCCCATCTTTCTTTGAGCTCGACTTATTCCCTCTCTTTCCCCAAACCTGATTAAGACCCCGCCCTTCGCACTTCCCTAGGAGGTCCCTGCCTGTGCCTTAAAGATAGATAACATGGAGGGTGAGGATTTGGGGTAGGGGAAGAGATAACGCCCTAAGCCCAGGTCTCTGGAATGTCTCTGCCCCTCCCTGGTCTGTCAGAGGCAGCCCCAGCCCCAGAATGTGTTAAAATCGGGAGACCAAAGGAAGCATTTTTATAGGTTCTGCAGACCCTCGGGGTTGACTGACAAAGTTATTCATTCAGAATGAGGGGGGAAAAGGGCATTGAACTTATCAAATTAGTAGTAAATCCTTCATTAAAAGAGTCACAGAAATGCTTCTTTTTTACGGGGAAGCCGTTATCATCCCTTGAGCCCAAATGAGAACCAACTCCCATGTAGTTAGGGGCCTGCCAAGCTCTCCTTTCAAAATGTGTGCCGCCCCCTGTCCTAGGCTGTTGGCTAAATTATGAATGGCCTGAGGGAAAAGAAAACTCAAGACCTGGGAAGTCCAAACTTGGAACATGAGCAAGAAAATGGCAGAACCCCAAATGAAGCTCATGGAGGCCGAAAATGCACCTTCCCAGCCACTAGGCAGTGAAAAGAGGTTGCATTTACTTCCCAAAGCTGATGAATAAGTGGAATTTGTAGGTGTCTCCACAGCTTGCTAAAGCCGTCTCAATTTCCCAGGAACCAGGGCCAAGATCCCACGTGGAACGTCCAAACCCGGTTCTGTAGGATCTCTGTTTACCATCCCCGGGCTTCATTTTGGCGTGGCACCAAGACTGAGCCAAGGAACTCCCTACACCTGCTTCCTGTGTTCTAAGTTTCTCCAACTTCTCCCCTACTGAGATCCCCAAGGCCTGTAAGGTAAAGACAGCCCAAAGGAGTTGGGACAGCAATTCACTCAGCCCTGTTCCCCAAATCCTCTGCCACCCGCAATGAAGCAACCATCAGAGCTGTGTTTCCATAAGCCCCCAGCCCCTTTCCACCAGCAGGGATATCAGCCAACCTGCTTGGGGGACAGCTGCTTGCCGGCACCAAAAACTTATTAGACCATCTTCACATCGCCGAAGTCAGGAAGTTGGCTCTCCAGAGCCTGGTGCCGTGGGCTGCTTCCTGAGTTAAATACAGAAAAAGAAGTTTCCTAATGTTTGGATTTAGAAGTAGGAATGGTGAAAAGTACCCATTAATGTTTGTGCCTCTCCCCAACAAAGACACACACACACACACACACACACACACACACACACACTGTCCATGCAGACAAATCATAAATCATCTCCGTGGCTGAACATTTTAGCGTTCAACAATATTCTTGGAGGCCCGAGGTTTTCAGGCAAATCCCAGGTCTGTGCACAAGGACACTGCATAAATCCCTCCCCTTATGAAAGGCCAGTCTGAGCAGATGGGACCAGTCTTAAGTAAACAGTAGAGCCCTCCCTCGGTCCACCTCAGGAGGAGTGGCAGGGGGCTGGCCCTTACAGCACAGGAGAGCAGAGAGTGGCGGAAGCTGCTGGTTCTGGGGCTCATGTTCATATCCCCAACTTATCTCTCAGAGGGAATCGTCCATTTGACCACACAATCCTCCCTCCCCTCCCGCAAGGGGAAATCAGACCTTGAAGTCAGACTAGAGGAGGCCTTCGCAGACCAAGTGGTGGACAGAGTTAAGAAAGCAAACCTGACTGCTGGAGAGATTGGCAAGGGCTCGGAGGAGGGAGAGGCAAAAGGGCCCCCCTCGTGCCCGGTGGCTCTGCGCGCGGAGTGTGGAGAAAATAACCTCACAGCTCCTCCACTTTCTGATAATCTGCTTCATTAATATTTATTAAACAAAAGATTAAAAAAAAAAAAAAGGAAAGGCCAGATAATTAAACACCCAGTGGTGGTAGAGGATTCCTCTGCTGTGTTCTCTTGCTGGCCCCCCACGTGCGGCCCAGGCCAAACGTGTGCACTGTGCCGTCTTCCTCTTCAGCCCTGCCCATCTCCCCAGGTGTGTCAAGAAGACAGGAGGCCGGTGGTTGGAGAGAGAGACAGACCCGGGCGCCCCAGGTGCTCACCAGGAAATGCACGGACTATGAAATTACACCAGGGCTGGGCAACTTACCACCACACCAGAACCCTTGGGATACTGAAATAATTAACTTGCTAATCAGCTACACCTTGCTCTTTCCTTTCGTGCTGGAAAAAAAACAGTCGCAGATTGCCTTCACATCAGGTTCTTATGTCAGTCACTTGGAGACAAATGATGCTTGAGAAAAAAATACACTCTCAGCCTCCACGTAGACTGCAGTGGGTCATACCGAGTCAGGCCTCCTCTTCTTCCCCACCCCTCCCACCAGGCACCCCGGGAGGCACCCAGACACAGAATGTTTCTGGAGATGCAGGGTTTGTTTTTTTTTTCTGTCCACGCCACAGAGCTTTTCCATCTCCGCTAAGCTCTCTCGCGTTCAGCCCTCTTTAGCCTGCTTGCTGGTGCTAAACAGCCAAGATCCATGTGGAGAAAGGAGGATTGATTAGAATCGTAATAATAATCCCTGGCATTCGTCCGGCTTTAGCGTTTACAAAATGTTTTCACACATTATCTCATTCGGTTGGAGCTGGAAGGGACCTTAGCAATCGCTTATCCCAAGGTGGATGAGGAAACTGAGGCCCTGGAAGATTAAATGACTTCCCCAGAGGCCCCAGCTAAGGACAGTGTGTGGTTGGTTCCCCCCATGTTCATTGTCTAGAGGTCCAGTGCCGCCTCTCCTCCCCTGGAAAGAGGAAAAGAGCATAATCACCTCTTTGGTCCACAGTGGTTACAGACCAAGAAATCACAACATTAGAAGAGGAGGACCTGAGAATGAATAGAACTCTTGGAACTCTTGGAAGAAACGGTTTGGGGGGGCTGGGAGTAGGGAGGCTAGTCCAAGTACTGAATGGCACACATCAATTAACACACTTCCCTTTCTCTCTTTGTCCCCTCATCTCCCCCTTCTCTCTGGGTTCAAAAATATGAACACTGTGCAGTTTGGGATCGAAGGCTTAATTCAGCCATAGGTCCCAGGGGGAAGCGGGGAGTGGGGCATGTTTCTCGGACTCCAATCTGGCACCTCCACTCCCAGGATTCTCAGCATGACGGGCTCTTGTGTGCATATGTGTGTCCACCCAAGACATTGGATTTAGCAGTGAAAAACAGGCATCTTGATCCTTTCACAGATCAGATGATTTGCAAATTAATAGCTCTTTCCCCCCCAAGGCTCTAAGGAGGTGGGGGGGAAAAAAGATTTCTGGTGAAGAGAGGGAAGAAAAGGGTAGAGAAATATAAAACGGGGAAAGGAAGCACAATGACAGTGGGTTCTGTAGGAAAACACTTCCTTGCCAAGGTGTGCGTGTGTTTGGATGTAGGTCTCTGCTTTTTCCACCGGGCCACCTTGCCCCCCGGTGCCCCAGCCTGTCGTAAGGGAAGCGGCTCCTTTGTGTGTTCATTTATTTCTAAGCCCAACTCTTTTCCCTCTAAAACTCCTTCTTCTCCCTGTTGAGCTGACCATGCTTCTGGATTTATGAAGAGAGATGTTTTAGCAGAAATCCCCCAGAGTGTCCCATCAGCCCTAAATCCCCGGCCCGCTCACCCCCCCAAGACCCCATGACACACAGCATGCCAACACGGCCTCCTCTTGCCTATGCATTAGCCATCCATTGTGGTAACCTGACATCTCTCACACATAAAACCGTAAGAGAGAAATAAAATATCTGTCTCTTGGCGAAAATAAAGCTTTGCCTCCCTCCTGATGTATAGGATATAAAATAAAGCCACGGCTTCAATAGTGGCTTTTCCTTATGCCGGAGTTGCCTTTGCACACACGGAGACAATGAAGACCGATGGTTTGGGACGAGGCCCAGCCTCCTGGGGCCGCCTTCACCCTTTTTTATTAGCGCGTCTTCCCCCGCCCCATCTCTCCCCACCTTTTTCTTTCTTCTTCACTTTCTTTCCTTTCTAGTTTGGATTTGCCTTTTATGTGTCCTTCTCTTTCTTTACTCTGGAACTTTATTCCTCTTGTTCACTTTCTCTCTACGGCCTGACAGAGACAGGGAGAGAAGAGCCAAGTTTCTCACCTTCTCAGACATGCCTGCCATGTCTCCCCGTCTTCCCCCTTCCCAGACCCCTAGTTCTCTCAGGACTGCCAGCTCCTATGACGGATTTTGCTGTTACTGCTTGGGGATTTGCTTTGGTCAAATGTACAAATGTTCCCAAGGGACAATTAAGAATGTGTTTAGTGGGGGAGGGAAGTGGGTTTTCTTTTTTTTTCCTGGGGAGCTGCCCTTCCCTGCTCCTTCTTCTCCCTAGGCTAAGTGGTTTATGGATCTCAACAATTATTTATTTAGCCTCTGAGGAGGGCAACAGAGCAGAGCTGCCACCTCAAAGGGGTGACAGTTGACATTCAACTCCCAAACCCAAGCCTTGAAGCTGCATCAGCAAACCAACTGTGGGCCTTGGGCCCTTTCTGGCCAGCTCAGCTACCAGGGAGTTGATCCAAGACCAACACCCTGTTCCCTGCCTCTTTCTCCAGTCCTGAGAACTGAGAGTGCTGTGGGAGAAAGTAAGAGGGTCCCCTCCCCATGACAGCACACAGAACTGTCCCCCTCAGGGTCACTGAGACAGGGTCATCTGTCTGCCCTCCCACACACTTGACATTGCATGCTCTCTACTTTTTTTATCCTCCTCTGTCCCTGGAGGCCTCAATCTTGCCAGGTGCACTGCTCTTTTCTGTGCTTCTGCATCTCTCCACCTGTGCATGAGTGGGTTTGTTTCTAGAAGCTTCTTTCCATCCTTGCCGTGGCCTTCCCTTCCGAAGCTTTCCCTCCTACCTACCCAAGGCTGCTTCCCAGCCCATTCAAAACTTCGCCTGCTCTATTAGGGGCTGCAGGACACATCCCAGGCCCCGGGAAGACTAAGTCATGACTGAGAGGAAGGGGTGCAGGGGCTGGGCTCCTGGGGAAACAGCAGGGAAGGGGGAACTTCTCTGCCCACATCCAACAGAGGGGCAGTGGGTGGCTTCTAGTCTCTGAGGTTGATGAAAGACTTCCATGTGTACGTGGACAGTTCCTGGTCATCTGTAAGATGAGGAGATCTTAATGAATGCAAATATGGAGAGGCTGGTGAGGCAGCCATAACTATTGAATCCAGCCCCCCCAAAAGGGGAGGGGGGCTTAGAGCTGCCAGGTCCAGAAAAAATCGAAATCTCAGTCCCAAACATGTTTAGTTTTGGGGGTCTCTCCCCCACATCTTTGCTATCTCTCCAGATATGGGCAGTGACCACTACCATTAGGTAAGGGGAGAGAGTCAATTAGTGAGAGGATTAATTACTCTGAGGCATGAGCCCCGTTTGTCTTCCTTACCGGGTGTGAGTGTGTGTTCAGGCGGAGGAACACGGGCACGCACCCAAATACACATTGTTGTCACGCCGTCTTAGACGTTTTATTTATTTGTTGGATTCCTGCCCAGAGCCGCTCACACGCTTTTCCACGGGCGCTGAGTCGCCCACCAAACATGCCGTCTCCTTTTCTCCCGCCTACAAACGCGACTGTCACACACGCGCGCACCTTCCAGTCCCGCCAGATGTCCCCCCAGCGCCTGCAGGGTGCCCCGCTGTGCGTGTCTCCCTGCCGGCTCTTACACTGCTGGGTGTCTTTCTGGGTCTCTTCTGTTTCTCCTCCTCTACTCTTCCACGCATTTCCCCCAATGCGTCTTCCCTCCTTTCAGCCCTGCTTACTTTTCCGCATTCCTTTTTTCCCCACTGGTTTTCTGTCCTTATTCCCTTTCCCTGTCCCTCTCCCCTCACTTCCCTCTCTCTCTGTCTCTCCTGCCTCTTCCACTCACCCTCTCCTTTCTGCGTTTACCCACACCGCTCTCTGCTCAGCGGCACTGCGGCGCTGCCTTGCATCTGAGACCGCCGCGCTTGACCTTCCCCCCTTTCCAAGCTCAGGGTCCACCCCCGCCCCCAGTCCCCGTGGGAAGCCAGCCTTGTTTACCCAGACGCTGTGCACACCGTGAAGCCCCAGCCGGATGCTGCCCTTTCCCGGCCTCGAAGTCTCCCACCCCCTCCCATCCCCAACTTGGAAACTACTGCTGGAGCAAAGTACACAGCGGTGCAACGTGACAAGCCCCCACCCCAAATTTCTCACCTTCCACAGTGCACTGGCCCAGGGATCACAGGTCATCCCCCCCCTAACTTGGGTTTCTTTCGGGGGGGGGGAAGAGGGTAAGACTGATTCCCCCACCCAGTGTGATTCAGGGGAGACAGTGATATTAACCGTAAAGTGGTGCACACAAGTAGGTCATTTCCAGGAGTGAGTGATGGAGTGAGATTACGGCAATCTGAATCAGGAGCAAAAGCAAGAGGGAAAGGAGAGAGGAAGATGCAGGATCAGATCCAAGGGCCCAGGACCAAAGTTTACTGCGTCGCATCTGCTGCGTCTGTCTACAGAGTCTGTGGGGAGTTTGTGTGGCCTATCGGACCCCTCCAGAAGACCCGCTCGCTCCCTCCTCCGTCTCCCTGCACCCACGAGCCTGGCTGCCCCCGGTGCCTGAAGCCCCGCATTGTTAACCGCCTAGAGTCCGCTCTGCCGAAAGCGCCTTCTTCCACAGCCTCACCGTGCTTTTCTCGGGGTGGCGGGCTGCATAGGAGCCCGCTGGGCGAGGAGAGGAGCCGCCAGGGGCGGTTGCCGCTCTCGCATCTACAGCAGCTGAAGGTGCCGGGCCAGCTCTGGTCCTTGGGCCACTCGAGCCACTGGGCAACGTGAGGGAGAAAGCAATCTGGGGCCGGGAACCACGGAGGTCACGGGAGGAAATCGGATGCAGGAGAGGGCGCCATCAATCCCCCTGAACAGCAGGGCATCTGGGGAGGGCTAGCAGAATCCCTCCGCCCCCAGTTCACCAGCAGGGTGCTGCTTCTCAGGACCCTCAGGGCGATTCTTAGAAAGGAAATTTCGTATTGTATAAACCATTTCCTGGCCCCTCTGGGGCCTTTTCCAAGAGCGCCTGGGGATGAGGCGGAGAGGATTCCGTGGCCACTGAGTGCAGACTCTACTGCGAAATTGACCCTCACAACATCCCGCCTAGAGCTTACTCGCCCTAGGGGAAGTGTGTGTAGTTGTGGGTCTGTGCTGCTTGGAGCTCCTTCCATAGGAAAGCTCGGTGTACTTCAGGACTGGCAGTAAAGTGTGGCGCTGAGGATGAGAAGGAAAGATTGGTGCTCTTCGCCCAGCAGCCATTGGTTTAAAGACAGAGCTGAGAGCTGAAGGTGCTGAAGAGGTGGCTAATTTGGAAAGCTGCGTCAGTTTTCTCTCCATGACTGTGCAACCAAATACATTTTAAAATAAAAGCTCAATGGAAACGGAAAAAAAAAAAAAACATTAACAGAGTGTGCTGTCGCAGTGGAGGCGTTAAATCTGGACTTTAAACCTACAATCGAGCCAAGAGGCACGCCTAGAGCTGCGCTCCAGGACTCCCTTGTAGACGCTGGGGTTGGTCCCCGCAGACGGGTTTACTGAACCATCTGGACACAGGGACAAGCAGAGACTGATGCCCCAGAGCCTGCGTCCCGTTCTCGTCTTCAATTCCCCTACCGCGTGGGTCTGCCCGCAGGGAGGGGACCTCTTTCCACCATGTCGAGATCACAGCACCCCCAAACGGGTGGAGCAGCCCCCTCCTGTCCACCGGAAAGAAGGCAGCGGGCCTTGGGTTCAGGAAGGGCCGGCAGCCGGGTCCAGCTGTCGCCCGGTAGGTCCCCGACAACTGCCCTCCACCCTCGCGGCCCCTCTGCTTTGCATGAGAAGGAGCCCAGCTGGGACGGGGGCGGGGGTTGAGCCACTCGGGACTCCGACGGCTTTAGATTCCAGAAAGGGGCGGTTGGGTCGAGGGCGCTAGCGGCGAGAACCAGGACAGCTGGGGGCGGAGGGGGGGCATGGGGTCCACTTGAGTGGACCAGCCCCTCCGCGCCGGTCTCACCCAGCGCAGGGGGCTCGGGAGGCACCTCGGGCTCCGGGAGGTGGAGATGGGGTCCCCCGAGCCAAGCAGTTCCTAGCGCCTCCGCGGGAGCTGGAGTACTGGCTAGGGTTGGGCTCGTTCGTCAGAGCTTCCGGTCGGCAGGAGGAGCGCAAAAACCTAGTCGGATCTCGCGAAGCCGGCTGCTGGGTTGGAGAACCATCCTCCCCATCTTACTCCTGACCTGAGCCCTCAGAGAGGCCCACGGAGGGGGCTGATGAGAGAGAGAGAGAGAGATAACTAGCCTCAACACTCCGCCCGCCCCGCAGCGGGGACCCGCAGCCCAGGTGTTTTTGGAGAGGGTGCGGAGAAGATGTTAGAGGCCCCGCACCCAGAGGTCAGGATGGGCGGAGCGCCAAAGAAGCGCACGCGGGACCTCGGCTTTGGCTTCCAAAGAAAAGGTGATGCGGGAGGCAAGGTGGAAGCTGCTGGCGGCCTCGGGGTTGCAGGGTGGTTCCGGCAGAAGCCTGAAGGCAGGAAGGGGGCGTTGGCAGAGCCCTAAAACTCCACTTCCGCCGAGCGTAAACCAAATTTTCTGTATCCGCTTCCCGGTTCGTCCGAAGAGGGTATTCCGTTTGCAGAGAGCTGGATCCCCCGCCGGCTCAGGTTCATCGCAATTACGTTTCAGCGCGCGTTTTCCCCAACTTAGTCGCGGGCCCTTGTATGGGATGTCTGAGTCCCGCACCATGAGTGGGATCGGAAGGCCAGTTCCAAAATACCAGCTAGACCTGGCTAGCCACCCAACCTTATTTTCTTCCACACTAAGGTTGAATTCGCCTTCTTAGCACACACTCCCCCCCAACCAAAAAAAAAAAAAAAATGAGGAGCAAAACAAGACTGCCCTCCCTGCCACCTTCAGACCTCAAGAGAAATCCCGGTTTAGCACAGAAATGGTGCTATCAAAACGGAATTTGGTATTTGAATGGCTTTAATCCAGGAAACCAGAGTAACTCTTGGAGACGAGGGTTCTCAGGACCCGGACCTGAACTCCGCGTTTGGAATAATCTGTCTCCAGGCAGTGGTCCCGACGTTATATTCGGGACTAGGGAGGTAAGAGCTCCCTGAGGAGAGAACTACAAGGGGGTATGGTCTGCGGTTTGTCTCCGGAAGGTGTTGACAGCCCGGAACCTGGAACAGGGGAGGAGGAGAAGCCAGCCCACTCAGCCCGTGCGCTGCACACTCGAATCCATTGCAGCCTTTCTGTGGGGCCCCAGACGTCCCTGCTCCCCACGGCCACTACCACCACCCGCCAGCCGCCACTGATGCCCTGCGGTTTCCCGCCTAGTCGTTTGTTTTTGTATGTAAAAGGTGTCTCCGGATCACAGTTTTCTCACAACTTCTCGCCTGGGTTGCAACTCCTCACCCGTGGCGCTTCCCCACCCACTCCTTTTCCCCCTCCCCGGTGCCGCGCCTCCGGTCTCCCCCGCCCCCACCAGGAAAGCGCCGGAATCAACTTTCCAAGACGGCGCTGCGGGAACAGACACCTAGGTCTCCCGGAGACCGAGACCCTGTGGACTTTGGATGGACTGGGGGAGGAGAAACGGAGGAACCAGAGGAGGAAGATCCTGTGGCCCTCCCTCCCCCAGTCCCGCTAAAACGCGCGCTGTGCTCGGGACAAACTTCTAGGCCAAGAAAGCACGAAGAAGGGAAAACAAAAACAAAAACCAACACCCGCTGAATTGCATAGTCAAACAGTTCACCAGGGCTCCCGGACCCAGCTGCACCCCAAGCTTCAACAAGGCTCCACCTTGGATTAATCCCACCTTCCAACAGTACTCTGCCCTCCGCCTGCGCCTTACTGCCGCGCGCTCTCAGTCCTTCCCATCGAAACCCAGGCCTTACCGGAGCAGGAGGGGCTCGGGCACCTCGCTGCCCGCCGCCCGCACCGCGCCGGGCGGCGGATGCGGCCGCCACTGATCCTCTAAACGCGGTCTCCCGGCACTCTCCCCGGCCGGGGGATGCAGAATGGTTTACAGAGGGACCGCGAGCCGCTGATTGGTCGCAGGCTGCGGTGACGTCGGCGGGCGCTGCATTAAGGCGAGGGGGCTTCCAGAGCTCAGCCAACAGCCAGGAGCAGTGACCGAGCCGCTGGAGCTGGGGAGAGACGCGCCAGGGCGGCGGACTGGGCCAGGAGACCAGGGACAGAGGGACGCTTGTCCGGGGACAGCCAGCAACGAACTGCGGCCTGGGCGGCGACAGCAGCGACCCTTGCTGAGCTGTTCCAGCCGCACAGAACTGTAGCTGCTGCACCAGGACGTTTTTTCAAAGCTCTCCAAGCTACTCCCCCTCCCCCCGACTCCTCCCGCTGCAAAAGAAAAAAAAAAAAAAAGGAAGGAAAGAGGCTAGAAAGGAAACCCAGATTTGCCACCACAGCGACAAAAGGGGGAAAAGGAAAAGAAAGTCCAGCGACTGTGGGGTTGGACGCAGGCCCCCGGAGCGCGGGCCGAGCGATGCGGGGCTGCGCGCCCAGGCGGCCGAGAGTTGTGACTGGAGCCACGATGAACGGCCAGGCGCGGTGAGGAGCCAGACCGTTTCACCTCCCCGAAGGAGTCCGGGAACAGGGAGGGCCGTTCTGAAAACACGGAGGCCGCCAGGCAGGCCACGGGCCGAGGTGACGGGGCTGGGGCGGTGGGGAGCGAGCAAGCGCACCTGGCTGTGTCCGCCTGGAGTTGTCCCTCTGCGTTCACGATTGACACAAACACTTCTCCAAACGGGGGAAATTTAAGCAGCAACAACAATCAACAACAAGATCTTCCTCCTGCCTTCCCCTCCCTCCCTCCCTCCCTACTCCCTTGGCCTACCCCCTCCCCCTTCCCCAGGCCCACGGCCGGCGCCCTGCGCGTCGGGACCCGCTGCGAGATGCCGGCAGTGTAGGATCCAGAGCTTCTCCACTGGTTCTGTTCTTTTCTTAAAAAAAAAAAAAAAGAAAAGAAAAGAAAAAAGAAAGAAAGAAAAAAAAAAAGAGGAGGGGAAATCCCGGTCGGTGGCAGGCAGCCTGGCACACACACACACCCGCCCTCACACCCCGACAAAAGCAGATGCACTTTGACTTCTGACAGCTCTACCTCAAGCCCAAGAGAACTCCACGACGCTTTCCCTGCAACCCGAGCTCGCCGTGTCCTCCTCTTCCTTCTCCGACTCCGACTCCGTTTTATTTATTTGGGTTTCCGTCGCCAATCTCGGTGACCTTCACTCCTCCGTGGGCTCTGGGCAGAAGAGTTGCGTTCTCCTGCCCGAGACTCTTGGCCCCAGGAGCTGCGGCGGCGCTGCTGTGTCCCGGGGCCCTGGGACTCCCAGGCTGCACAGTCCACCGAGGTGCCCTCTGCTCCCCATCAGCCTCATTTTCACCCCCTTTTGATTTCCTTGTGCGGGTTTTGGCTTGCACCCCCAGTGTGTCTCCTCTTTTTGGAGGGGCTGGGGAGCTCTTGCTGAGGTCTTCAGGAGTCATCCCCTAGGCTCTACCTGCTCTTCTCCGGGCCTTACCCGACCAAACCAAAGACCATGGTGCACTGTGCCGGCTGCAAAAGGCCCATCCTGGACCGTTTCCTCTTGAACGTGCTGGACAGGGCCTGGCACGTTAAGTGCGTCCAGTGTTGTGAATGTAAATGCAACCTGACCGAGAAGTGCTTCTCCCGGGAAGGCAAGCTCTACTGCAAGAACGACTTTTTCCGGTGAGTACTTCCCTGGCGCGCCTCTGCTGCTCCCACCCCGTGGGTCCTTCCCGGCCAGCTTGGGATCAGAGGTCAGCGTGGCCGAAGCATCCGTGGTAGGAGCAGCGTTGGAGAGGGCAGCCAAGTCCCATGGCACCCGCCTCTTAGCCAGCTGGCGCGCAGGGCGCAGGGGACGCGGCCCAGCTTGCGTCTTGGAAATTGTGGGTCCCGGCTTAGCTGCACGTGCCTGGGGAGAAAGGGTGTGAGTCCGCTTGATCCCAGAAGCCCAGAAGCCCCTCCAAGCTTAGAAGGAAGCAGCACAGCCCCAGGACGTTGCAACCCCAAGCTCTGTCTTTACCGGGCTAGATCCATGCCAGTGCCTTTTCCTCTCCAAAAGGTCTTGGCGGGAACCGCGGAGGCTTTTGCTTTGGAGTGTTTTGAGTCCCTCGCTTTGGCGGCGAAAGGGAAAAACTCTGCCCTAACGCCTATGGTGCACATTCCAGGGTGTTCTTGAAACCCCGACTGGCCTCCAAGCGCCGGCCTGGGCACAGTGAACCACGCCTGTGAAATGCCCCAGGACTCCAGCCTCCGGGAAGACCTTTTCCCACCGCTTCCCGGCTGCTGGGTTGGCAGGAGTATCTGCCTCCGCCCAACGCGAACCTCGGCTTTGTGGCGCAGGCTCCGCTAGGAGCTCTCCCAGGCACTGCCCGCCATCCCCTTGCCCCACCTCCTTGCCGAAAACGGGAAAAACCCAGGCCTGGCTCATCTGAGCCGGGAGACTTCTCCAGACGCCCTTCCTTCGTTTAGCATTTTAATGTATTCTCTTGAACGCACTATCTTGCCTCGAAATCCACACAAACACGAAAGTCAACCGAGAAGAAACGGGAGCAAATGCGAATTTTAATTCCTCTGTACTGGTTTGAAACCTCCCAGTTTACTCGGTTGACTTGCTCTCTGCTCTCCTCTGAGTTTTGGTGACCGATCAAACTGGGAGTGGGAGTGAGGGTGCGAAACAATCCGGGTCGCTTTGCTCAGAGGCCCAGGAAGCGTGTCTCTGATTGCGGGGAACCATGGAGAAAAGCGCTGTGAGGCTAGTATCGCCGGGAGGAAGCGCGGGCTGAGCGTCTGAACCTCGGCCGGCTGCTCCTGTTGTCCCCAGTACTGGCTGGAGCCGAACCCGAGAACAGCGAACGGTGCCAGCTGCCAGCGGGCCCCAGAGGCCTGGCTCCCGTAAAGCGCAGCCCGGCATCTAGAGCCCCGCGGTGGCCAACCTGCCCGGCTTTGGGCTTGAACGTGGCGGCGGCCCAGCTGCAGCCGGAGGCGCGCTCCGCGGCTGTTTCTTTACCCGCGTGGGGACTGGACCTTGCCAACCCTCAGCCTATGCGCGGGTCCTTTTGCGGTGAAAGGTGACGCTAGGAGAGAAAAGCGGCGCTCGGGACGCTTTAACATGGAGCTGATTAGATTTTGACTCTTTTCCGAATCAAACAGGAAAATAAGTGCCTCCCTCCCCCTTCCAGTCACCACCTTACCGTCTTCCCAAGGCGCTCTTTTCCTCTGGGACAACCCCAGCATGAGGCTGGGGGTGGGGGCAGCTCAGGCCCTTGCTCTCTCATTCTAACCATGTGTATCTCCTGGCTGACTTTTCACTGGTGGCCCGCACCCTGTCCTGCCTTCTTGACGGTTCCATCCGCTGTCTCTCTTCGTTTTCCCCCTTCCATCTCTTCCTCCACTTTCTTTTTCTCTCCTCTGTCCTCTTTTTCCTGGCCTCTGTTCTCCCCTTGCCCCTCACCAACTGGTTCTCTCCCATCCCGCAGATGTTTCGGTACCAAATGCGCTGGCTGCGCGCAGGGCATCTCCCCTAGCGACCTGGTGCGGAGAGCACGGAGCAAAGTGTTTCACCTAAACTGCTTCACCTGCATGATGTGTAACAAGCAACTCTCCACTGGCGAGGAGCTCTACATCATCGATGAGAATAAATTTGTCTGCAAAGAGGATTACCTAAGCAACAGCAGTGTCACCAAAGAGAACAGCCTACACTCGGGTGAGGCCCCAATTCCCAGCTCGTTAGGGGCGGGCGGGTCCTGGGGGAAGAAGGCCCCGTGAAGCCCCTGCTCACCTGTCCCTTCCCTCTCCTCAGCCACCACGGGCAGTGACCCCAGTTTGTCTCCAGACTCCCAAGACCCATCACAGGATGATGCCAAGGACTCGGAGAGTGCCAATGTATCGGACAAGGAAGGGGGCAGCAATGAGAATGACGACCAGAACCTGGGCGCCAAACGACGGGGGCCGCGCACAACCATCAAGGCGAAGCAACTGGAAACTCTGAAGGCGGCCTTTGCTGCTACTCCCAAGCCCACGCGCCACATCCGGGAGCAGCTGGCTCAGGAGACTGGCCTCAATATGCGTGTCATCCAGGTCAGGGCGTGGGCATGCCACTCAGTCCCACCCCGCATCCAGACCGACATGGCTCCTCTAGGCAGGCACCCAGGCCTAGCTGGGGAAACCCAGCCCCAAGGAGGGGAGTGAGTCCTGGGAGGCTGGAGGGGGGAGGACTGGAAAGGCCCAGACACATCCCTACCCTGGTGTCCTGTGCTGTGCTGCCCCATTGTGGAGGGCATCTGGAAATCCCTAGGCTCCCTCCATTTCCCAGTTTGTAGCTGGTGATGGTCTTGGCAGAGGGGGAGGGATGGGGAGCTCGGCCGAAGCTGGAGGAGGGGACATCATTGGACGCCACTAGGGAGTTGGGACCCTTTCTTCTGCAACACTCACCTTGTTTGGAAGGAGCCCAGAGGTCTCTGAGCATGCCAGAATTAATCAGTTCCACGGACTTCTCCACAACATAGATCTCCCTCTGTGTCCCCCACCTACTTTGTGGGTCTCTTACTTCAGTTAGACAAGCCCCAGAGCAGAGAGACAGACATCTTCTCCAGAGAGAGATGGGGCATCCTGGTTTGAAAGGGAAGAGGCCTAGGCTGGAGTCAGCTCAGGCTCTGGCAGTCTAGAGTGGAATACGGAGGCGAGGTAGACATCTGGGCATCTGTGCCATTGTGTTGTGAGGACTTCAGGCTGCATGTGATTTGGGCCCCGGGATCCAGCGGCCCCCAGTGAGGTGTGTGGTTCACCTGCGGAGGCTCTGGAAGGATGTGCTGGGTGTGCCTGGAGGCTGAGTGTGCCAGGGAACACATATGCAGGCTGCCTTCCAGGGGAGGCCTTGTAGCCCCTGGGAGGCTGTGCCAACCTGCAGTGAATGGAGGGTTGCATGTCTGTGTCCTTGTCAGTGAGAGGCTGTGGACAAGTATATTTTGCACTGGGAGATTTGCATGGCTGTGAAAAGGAGATTGTGGGTTTTGGTGTCACTGTCATTGGTAGACTGAGTGTCAACAGGAGACTGTTTAGTTCTCTGTCACGATCATGCGGGGGAGGGAGCTGCCAGGGACCGTGAATGGGAAGCTGTGTGTGTCCAACACTATTTGGGGAGGTTGTCTATGTGTGTAGAGCCCCCAGGAGCTGAAACTGTGACAGTGTGACTGTTGGAAACAACTCCAACTGCCTCACGTAGGGCAGGGAGGCTTGCCCAGGTCCCCAGTCGGGAATCCCGTGTATCATTGGCTCTGGGGCCGTCTTGCGCGGCCCACTCAGAGACATAACCTCCCCCCCCACTACACACACACACACAGACACAACACAACGCAACGCAACACAACACAACCCAACACAACACACAACACGCACACACTTGGGAGACATGAGTCTTGCTAGCGGTTGGAGGGGTTCGGGACGATCAGCCGCGCACCCGAAGTTGGGGGGGAGGGGAGGGTCTCCGGGGGCCTCACCTCGCCCCGTGTGTGCTTCAGGTCTGGTTCCAGAACAGACGTTCCAAGGAAAGGAGGATGAAGCAGCTGAGCGCGCTGGGCGCCCGGCGCCACGCCTTCTTCCGCAGCCCGCGCCGGATGCGGCCGCTGGTGGACCGCCTGGAGCCAGGCGAGCTCATCCCCAACGGGCCCTTCTCCTTCTACGGAGGTGAGTGTGCTGCCGAGTGGCAGGGCGCGGCCAGCCGGGGTTGGCTTCGTTGGAAGCGGGTGGCAGCAAGGGAGGCGCTCCCGGTTTTCTTTAGAGAAGTGCCGAGCGGGGGAGAGATGGAGAAGGCTGGGGAGTAAATCAAGGGTCGGTAGTCGGCACCGAGTGCTGAATTCCTGACCGTGAAGGACGCGGGTGGGCTGGTAGGGAGCAGCTCCAATGTTTGCACCAGGCCTCCTCCCTGCTGCCAGCCCAGCAGGGGAGCCCCCCAACAGCGAGTTCCCCCTATTGCCTTTATCGTCCTTCCTCCTCCGCCCTGACATCCTCTTCCCTGCCGCTCCGCAGATTACCAGAGCGAGTACTATGGGCCCGGGGGCAACTACGACTTCTTCCCGCAAGGCCCCCCGTCCTCGCAGGCTCAGACACCAGTGGACCTGCCCTTCGTGCCATCGTCCGGGCCCTCCGGGACACCCCTGGGCGGCCTGGAGCACCCGCTGCCCGGACACCACCCGTCGAGCGAGGCGCAACGGTTCACTGACATCCTGGCGCATCCCCCAGGGGACTCGCCCAGTCCAGAGCCCAGCCTGCCGGGGCCTCTACACTCAATGTCGGCTGAGGTCTTCGGGCCCAGCCCACCCTTCTCATCGCTGTCGGTCAACGGCGGGGCGAGCTATGGGAACCACCTGTCTCACCCCCCCGAAATGAACGAGGCGGCCGTGTGGTAGCGGGATCTCGCACAGTCCGCGGAGTTCGTGGTTGTACAGAAATGAACCTTTATTTAAGAAAAATAGAAAAAGAAGAAAAAAAAAACATAAAAAGCAAGTCACCCTCCCCCCCCCACACACACACACTTCCCTCAGCCTCGGGGACCATTTTCTGTCTGGGGAGTCCGGATGGGAAAGGGGGACAAGAAACAGGATCCAAATCCGCCTGGAGGCAGAACTGGGATCCATGCGCTGGATGGCGAGGTGGAGAACTGGGGCTCCCGAAGGGAAATGCAGACCTCTCCCCATCTTCCACCTGGACCCGGATGTGGGGACAGACGCCCCAAGTGTGCACGCCCGTCTGGAGGGCGGCACAGGAACACCCAAGGAGGCCGCGGGGACGCACAGCCAGTGGTGACGCCGGGAGCCGCAGGGAGACAGACAGAGAGGCACAGCCGGTTGAGGGAGGTGGAGCAGCCCGGGGCACTCCCGGGCCAGCCCGGAGGGTTCTGGCTCCGGGAAAATATCTCACTAGTGTTGTCTCAGTGTTCAGGAACAGCGACAACAAACTCTTATAGCTTCAGAAACGCCGACCTGCTGTGCATCAGGTGGGACTATATATATATATTTTTTGTCTATCTGGGTTTTTGGTTTTTTGTTTTTGCCCAAATAGCAAAATTCTAAATGTAAAGCCCTCAGTATCAACTCTTCTACCTTCGCAAAGCTCTACACACACACAGATACACACAGACACCCTGGATAGGATGGTCTCCAGCCAGACCTCTCAGTAAAATGACTTGAACATCAACTGTACAAGAAAGTATTCTACCTTCACACATACAAAAAAAAAAAAAAAGTTAAAAAAAAAAGACTATTGAACTAAAAACAGTCAACTGTTTACGTATAATGTTAAATTCAGGAGTTCAGTGTTTTATTAATATATCCTGTTTTGAAACCTCTTGTTCAAAAACAAAATGTTTTGAGCAATCAACCAAAATTGTTCATTTTCTTTTCCTGTAGATGTTCTGACAGATTTGCAGGGCTCGCAGCTCACTGTGCTAGTATGTAAAAAGGTGTTGTTTACACAAGGCAAAGAGAAAACATGATATTCAGACACTTGCCAAATAGAATAATTATAGCACAAATACTGTAAAGGTGCCTAGCACCACAACCTGAGAAAGTGTTAAAAAAAAAAGTGTTACAAGGTTTAAAAAAACATCTTTGCTAATTTTTAGTCCTGTTGAACATTCATGGAATTGTTAATATGACTTATATAGACCCACACAGGTTTTATTTTTGTGTCTTTAAAATAAAAGTCCAAAATATTTAAATTTTATGGTCAAATATGCAGTCAACAGCTGCTACTTTTTTCTTTATATATTAAATTTCTCATATGTCTTTTATTGTTCTGATAAACCTAAGCTTGTGTGACCTCCAGTGCATATTAGACCATTCACTGTATGAAAGAAAACATGTTGAATAAATTTGTGAGTTTTTAATAAAAATAGAAAATCTGATGTTTAGATAATTGGTGTGTTATTTGATGTTTTAACTAGTAGAGGGGAGGCTGGTGGGGAACTGAATGGCCCCTCAGAAGCCAGGAGGAAGAGAGGCAGGCCTCGGATATCTTTTTACCCTGGCTGTGGCTGAATCCCCTTGCTAATGCCAGCCTTGCTTTTCTCCGTGGCTTTCTACTGTTATTAACTACGGATTTGCATTCTGTGGCTTTAACTGATATAGTTGAAGAGATATTTGCTGATAAGTTAATATCGAATTTGAAATAGAAATCAAATCCAGGGCTAAAAATGAGTGTTCCCAGTATGATTAGGCATGAGATCCCATGCACTCTCTCGATCCCTCATTCCGCACATGTGAAGGTGGGACTTGTGAAAGTCAGTTACCTGTAAATATATATAGTTAGAGGTGGTCCTTTTCAGTTTCAATTCACTTCCCATAGATAATCCTGCTCTTTAATTTGACGGTTTAAAAGATAATGTAAAATAGATGTACAGTACAGCTAGAAATTAAATACTTTAATCCCTTTCAGAGAACTGACAGTGACGGTGATGGAGTTGTTTTACAGTGTTTGTTACATCTGAAGTTTCCTAAAGGAAAAACTTGTGCCTGGCACAAGATACATACTACCTTTCTCTGAAAGATGAGCAAAAAATAACCAATATAGAAATCAAATTTCATCTGGGAGCTGCCAATAGGTTCTGAAAAGTACTTCAATCCCTCCCAAGCCTTCATTAAACATGGAAGGAATTTAAATATTTATCTACTATGGAATACGTGTGTGTTTAATATAAGATGCTATTAGAGTACCAGAATTTCTAGATTTCAGTCTGGATTATTTATTTCGTTTTAAAAATTGAAGGTTTTACATTAAATGGTATGTGATTTCCATTGTCGTTTTCATATTTTGTTAAGACACAACCAAGTGTATCTTTCCTGCAGGGAAGGCTCTAAAATGAGCAATATTTCACCGCATCCATATGATGGTTTGTCTAATGGGGAGGACTATCAGGAAGGAACCTGACAGTGTTCTTTCAGAAATCCAAATTTATGAAATAGAGAGAATTTTGAAATTCCTAGCTTCTGCATGCAGCACAATTCTTGACCTGCTTTTATGCAATCCCTGATCAGCTGTTTTTGCCCTTTTAGCATGTATATACATTAAATCACAGCCAACTTATTCATTATAGCCACCCCCTTTAAAGACATTCATTTAACTGAACGTATGCGCACGGGAAGCTGCATTTTCCTATCAGGGCTGCTGAATTATTTAGCAGCTTTATTGTGGAATCCGGTACTTGTTAAGAAGCGTTTTGAGTTGGGCGCTCAGTGTGGACTCCTTTCCTCTCTCTGACTCCGTGACAGCGTAACAGTCTTTAACAGTCTTTCCCTCTTGGGTCTGTAGAGTGAACCCAAAGAAATACCTGGACAGGTGGCAAAGCTGAGCAGTCGGATTGGGAGCCGCCTGAGAGGAGGAGGTCTAGAAATATCAGGGACTATTCTCCTTCCTAACAGAGCAGCGCTGCCCACCTCCAGCCCTAAGGTGCAGAGAAGTGCGGCACCATGGGCAGGCGGGCTGGCTGTCTGGGGGAGCTCCCAGGAGAAGCTCAAGGGCCACAGGGAGCACAAACTGTCCCCTCCCTCCGAGAAGGGCAGTCTCCTCTCCAGCTGGGCTTGGCAGTTAGCTTTCTCCCTGCGGCCATCTTAAAGCTGCCACCTCCTGCCTCTGCCATCTGCCCTCAGGGTTCCAGCCTGCCCTGGGCTAGGGAGTTGAAGCTCACCCACCCAATTTCCCCAGGCTGGAGGAGACTGAGGGCTGCTTTAGGTCTAGACAAGGTCAGAGAGAACAAGCATGGAGAGCCAAGACAGGCATTGGCAGTGACCTGGGACATGGGGATTGATGCATCTGAGAAGAGAGGCAGGCAAGAACCTGGGTTCCCTAAACTCCTGAAACACCAGGTCATAGGACAAGTTGATTGGGACAGTGGTGGGGGTGAGGGGTAATCTAATGTCACTCCTGCCCATCAGCTATTCCTACATCTGTCTCTCACTTTGCAGCCCATAGGTAGCAGGCAGTGAACTGCGAACCAGGAGACCCTCTGACCAGCTCTGGAGAGGACTGTTTTTTTGGAGAATGCTCCCATTTATTCCCATCCCTCTGGTCATCAAATCTGCTTAAGTTTCTGGTAGGAAGTAGAGTCTTTGAAATATCTTCTCTTGTAGTCCACCCTCCATCTCCAGACCCTTTCCCAACAGGAAACCCCTCCTTCAACACACTAGAATGCAAGCAGGGAGGGCCTCATAGAGAGAGCATTTAGGAGGGTGCTTCCCTGCCCTGTGCCTCAACTTCTCTCAGCTGCATATTAAGTCTTAGAATTCTTTCCTCTTGCCTCCCCCCCAACCCTCAGTATGGGGTAAGAAAGCAGGAGGAGCATTTTGGGGGCCCTGGAATGTGTGTGACTGGAGTAGAGTAGCCTTGATTCCTTCCTTCAAAGGCTTCCCAAGTCAGTGGGGACCAGGATAGAGAAGGGAGAGTAGGTAGGCAGAACTTGGGCATTTTCTGCCCAGAATCATCCACCGGTGTCCGGTTTACGAGTTGGTTTAGAAGTGGTCTCTGAACTATCTTGCCTCCCTTTCCATTTTCTTCCTTTTCTTTACCCTGAAGGCAAGGATTCTAAGTACCATTGTTCAAAATAGGAAGGGAAGAGGATTGGGGGAGGTAGTTTCCTAAATGCGGATAGAAACATTTTGTCCTTTGAAGCCCAAGGCGATGGCTCCTGTTGCAGCCTGAGGGGCCTTCTTTGCTCTGGGGGCTCCAGAGTGCAGGCACCATACTGCAATAACAGGGGATGTGTTAACAAAAACAAACAAACAAAGCTGTTTTCTAGCCTGAATTCTCTTGCTGCTGGCAAAAAAGCAGTTTTCTTTTGCCTTAGTCTCCTGTTTAGGGTGCTTCTGTCCTAGCACCCCTCTCTCCCTTTCATGTTCGAGGGGGTCTCCCCTATGATGGGTTCTCCTTCCCCTCTGCAGCCACCTAAGAAGGGGACATGAAACAAGCCTCACTAAAGTGATTGGCCTTTCATTGCTCTTGACCCTGAGGGCATATTAAAACTGTGAAAGTCAGGGACCCTCACTTCTCTTAAGTTCTGCAGGAAACCCTGGTAAGCTGAGGGTTCCTAGGCTGTTCAGCTGTGGGATCCAACTGGCCTGGAAACCTTAACACTATTTTCTGCACTCTTTTGATGCTCTGTTTATGGGGTTCTAGGTTACTACAGGTGACCTCAAACAGATATTGGAAGGAGAGACCACTTTGAACTCACCCTTATCATCCCCTTATTGCTGTTTGTGTTTACAAGTTTGTCTGCCCCCCTGGGCTGATCACTTTCAGGAGAGAATTTAACTTACTCATCTTTGTATCTCATCTAGCAGTGCCTGCCACACAGCAGGCAGTTAGGGAATGCTTCATGAAGGAAAGAGAATATAAAGGGATTGTATCTTTCCGTGTGGCTGGGTGTAATTAAACTGATCCTATTAAGTCTTTATATTCTGAGTCTCCCTGTGCCCCTCTAATGGTAGACATTGAGGTTTTCTGCATTTGTGCACCAGTTTCAAGTGTCTGAGTATGCCTTCACCTTTGAAGAGATATCAGTAATGAGTGTATGAAGTAATCACCACCACCTCCTTTTCCTGAAGACAAGGCTACTTGGAGAAACCACAGAATTGATCTTTATTTATGAACAGTTGGAGCGACTTCTAATTATTCCTATTAATAACGACACCAACAGTCTGCCGCACAGTTACACATGTACATCCCTGACGTAGGATTCTTAAATCCTGATCACCACGGGGTCACAGGTATGTGCCCGGCCCCCGACTCCTCCAACTCCTTAAATGCCAAACCTGTTTTGGTCCCAGTCTCTGTGTGCCCCAAAGCGCACCTGAGGCTGGAGAAGCTTATAGTTTACTCCCTTCTCTTTTTCAAATCAGCCACCATAGGCCACGGCCACCCCACACTTTATTTCTAATCGAATCTCAGACAAATCTTGAAGCATATTTTATGCAAGGGGACAAGGGCCGCGCGCACTGCAACGTCTGTTCAGCGCCAAAGGAGGCCACGTGCCCTCGCGCGCTCCCGGACCTCCTCACACACCCCCTCCACGCACGCGCACGCGCGCCGGGACCGCGATAGTCCCTACGGCCTTCCGCGCGCTTCCGCCTTCTTCCTAGCAACGCCCGTAGTGACACGCAGGCCCCGCCCCCTCCCGCGCGCCTCCCGGAAGTGGCCGGCCCCGAGCGAGAGCGGGGTTCTGCGCGGTCCCTGGCTGTTCTGGGCGCTAGTCTCCCGGCAACAGGGCCCGGCGGGGAGAAAGCGTCCAGGCCGGGGCCGCACACTGACGAGCGCCGCGCGGAGCGAGACCTGGTGACGATGGCGGGGCCGCTGGCGCTGCAGCTGGAACAGTTGTTGAACCCGCGCCCGCGCGAGGCGGATCCTGAGGCGGACCCAGAGGAGGGTGAGGCCTGACTGGGAAAAAGGCCACGTGCGGAGCTGTGGGTCCGGCCCAGGGCAGACCCGGGCGGCGCGAGCGGGGCCGGCAGCTAGGCCTCGCCGCTTGGCCTACTCGGCTCGCCCTGGCGCAGAGGAAAACAGCCTCCCGGGAGGGTTGCCCCGGGCTCGGGCTTCTTTCTGAACCGCTCGCTAGACTTGGTGCTGGGGAGGACGGAGCATCCCGGCGACTCAGGCTTCAAGGGCTGTTGGAGGCTTTAGGGTCTGGTAGATGGCTGTAAGTTATCTTTCAGCGTGCCCTTACTGGTATTGAGTTAGACATGAGAAGGGCGTCTCAGCTGTTTTTTAAGTCGGTCTTCCCCTAAGAACTTAACTTGGAGATTGAAGGAAGAAGTGGGATTCCGTGGTGCTGCTTAAGCCTCCTTAGGCCTCAAGACACTTGCTCAGGGGCTGACAAATGAGACTCTGTAAGCTGGTGTTCAAGGTCTAGTTGGGAGTAATCCTGCTTTAGACCTGAATCAGAGAAGTGTGAGGAAGAAAGAATAAGGAAGGATAAATGTGAGTGCTGGACCGTGTCTTGGGAATATCAGTTGAAGAAGCTGAGCCGGGGGCCGGGCACATACCCGTGACCCCGTGGTGATCAGGATTTAATATATATATATATATCTACCCCAGGATAAGCAAACTCCCTTAGGGATGGGATGGAGTGAGGAGAGATGGTTGACTTATCATATTTGAGCGACTGTCACAAATGGAAGAGGAATTAGGTTCGTTTTTATGATCCAAGGCATAGAAATATTTCCTACTAGTTAGTGCAGAGGTCAGCTTTCTGTTCAGGAACAGCAGTAAGGTAGTGGTCTTATCTTGAGAGGTAATGAGTTTCCTGCTCCTGGAAGTTGGTTGGGATTTTGTAGAGTATGAGTTAAAAGGGTTGGATAGGGTTACCATTAAAGTTCCTTCTAACCTGGAGATTCTGATTACTTTCCCCTTCCTCTACAGCCACTGCTGCCCGAGTGATTGACAGGTTTGATGAAGGGGAAGATGGGGAAAGTGATTTCCTGGTGGTGGGTAGCATTAGAAAACTGGCATCAGCCTCCCTCTTGGACACAGACGAAAGGTATTCTGGCAGGGCTACTTCTAGAAAAGCTTGGAAGAAGAACCATTGGGAGCAGACTCTGCCAGATTCATCTGGTGAGTAGACATTTGCATAGTACTTCCTATTTCTTCCCTACTTTTTTAAGGTTAAAGTTGTGGTTTTTTATGGGTTTGGCTTTTTTTTTTTTTTCCTTTCGATGATCTCTGCAAGACTAGCCTGTGTGCCCCCACTTACTGTCCCAGGAGACACCATGATTTTCGCAGCACAAAGGACCTTAAGAGGTACTTAATTTCAGGTCATAAGCTAAGTTCAGAGCTATTAAGTTTCTGTAATCCTTATGTTTAGCCTAATGGTTCACCCTAAAATGGAGAGAAAGGCAATGTATATTGGATATTGGAGAGGGCTATGTGTTGAAAAAGAATTGCATCTGATGGACATGCTGCTCATGGATTTTGACCCCTTTCCTTTGGTTTTTCAAGTCTTGCATTGGGTCGCTGTATAATAATAATTTGTGAAGCTCATTTTTTGCCATTGTAAAAATAGCATAATCCTTCCCTCTTCCCCACAAGAGCCTGAGGAGGATGTGAGGACACGAGCTTATAGTTTTAAAACATTGTAAATTTCTCAATGGAAATAAGGGAGGGGCTGGATATGGTGATTACTGAGTGCATGCCATCTTTTTTTTTTCCTTTAGAGAGGTGCCATGTTGAGAATCTATAGATAAGTATAAAAGAAACCTTCATGGAGGTCTTGATACCCCTGATTTGGCCCTTGGTATAGTTCTGGGGGCTCCTGATAAGCTTATTTCACATTCTTTGTCTAGAGAGTGATAAAGGGCCCAATCGTGAGACAAATGTTATATTTATTGGCCTTTCACCATACGTCAGGCATTAAGCTCTTTAAGTGCTTAGAGACTGGAACACAGTAAGTCTTCAAAGGATGTTGTTACTGTCATCATTACGTGTATCATTTCATTTGGTACTCCAGTAGTTTATGAAGTTGGTAGCATTTATCCCCATTTTACAGGTAAGGAAATTAACGGACAGGTTGGTTATGTAACTTGCTCAAGATCGTACAGCTAGTAAGCAGAAGAACCAGGATTCAAATAAGGCAGTCTGACTCCAAGATCTATACTCTTAACTACTATTCTATGAATATACCTTAATCTGAGAAATGGCACACATTTAAAGAACTTAAATGATTAATTTCTGCTTACTATTTTTGCACTTCGTTTTTTTTTTTTTTTTTCATATTTTGACAGCCCTCTGTATGTCTTGAGTTTATATATAGTTCTTTAAAGCAATACTGAGGACCTATCACATAAGCTGTTACTTATTTTTATTTATTTTTAAATGTTTTTAAAATTTTTTCAAAGATTTTATTTATTTATTTGACAGAGAGAGACAGTGAAAGAGGGAAAACAAGCAGGGGGTAGCTGAAGAGGGAAAAGCAAACTCCCCAGTGAACAGGGAGCCTGATGTGGGGTTTGATCCCAGGACGCTAGGATCATGACCTAAGCTGAAGGCGGACACTTAACGACTGAGTCACCTAGGCGCCCTTTTGCTTATGTTTAATCAATAAAATTATAATGTCTCCTTCACATGAAGCCAGTTCCTCACCCTTTCAGGAGAGTTAGATGGATCCTTTTCCATATACTGTGTACCAGTGACACTCTAATGATAATAATGATATGAATGTTGGTATGCATATCTACCACTCCCACCAGGCTGTGAACCCCTCCCCACAGGTATTACATTCTACATTTTACATCTATTACATTCTGTCATTTCTTAGCTTTTTATCTATACCTGGCTCATAGTAGGTGCTTAATTTTAATTTTAAATTTAATTTTAAATCCTTTGCACCACACTTAAAATTTCTCCCTTCTCTGGGTTATCAAAACTTTGTCAAGTCTTATCTGTGTTACAGTTTCCCACTAGAGCCTTTCATTAGGGTGAGACCCATGTTTTGTTCATCTTTGTTCTCTCTTTAGCATTTTAGAGGTAGTAGATGTATAATAAATATTTGAGTTGAATTGAGTACAATAATAAACTTCATTTTTGATGGATGCTGTAGTCCTTTATTTGAAGTGAAAGATATGGCCTAGTGTTTGTCTCAAAGTGACATCCATCTTTTTTGCTGCTTCTTTTGTTTAGACCAGGAGATACCTGATGAGGAAGAGTCTGGAGATGGAGATGCAGAGGGGCTGGGTCTGGAGGGATCCGATGAGGATGCCATGAGTGCTGCTGAGGAAGAAGAGTGTGACGATGACAGGGACAGTAGTCTGGCCTGGAAGAAGAGCCAAAACCGCACTGGGAAAACACCGGGTTTTAGTGTCCAGAGCATCAGTGACTTTGAAAAGTTCACCCAGGGAATGGATGACCTTGGTAGCAGTGAGGAGGAGGAAGATGAAGAGGAGGAGGAGAGTGGCATGGAAGAAGGGGATGGGGAGGAAGACTCTGCGGGTGAGAGTGAGGAAGACAGAGCTGAAGACAGGAATAGTGAAGACGACGGTGTCGTGATGACGTTCTCTGGCGTCAGAGTTTCTGAGGAAGTGGAGAAAGGAAGAGCTGTGAAGAACCAGATAGGTTTGTACATGGTTTTGCTGTCAGCCTATTTTTCAAAGTGTCTGCATTTGATTTCTGTTTGTTTGTTTTGGCTGTTCCCTCAATCCTGTGTCCTTCCAATTAATTTGTGAAATGCCTCACCTACCTAGAGGCCTAAAGCCCCATGCTTTTGTGCTTAGCCAGTCATTTCTGCACTGAGCTGCTTAGCTGGTTCTGTCCTAGTACTTTGGCAGCTGTGGGATATTGAAGAGAAAACAGTTTTCTTTTCTCATTGGACTTCAGCATTCCCTGTCTTGTATAGCAAATATTGGCTTCCAAGATAGTGAATTTATTTCTCCTAATGGCGAGTATTTTCATGGTAAGAAGCTGTGATAAAGCTGTGCTTTGTAGAGACTGGTGTGATTTCCTATCCCCCCCAAGTCCCCAACCCAAGAAGATTTTGTAACAGGAATGAAATTCTTTTTTCCATTCTCAGCACTGTGGGACCAGCTCTTGGAAGGAAGGATCAAGCTACAAAAAGCTCTGTTGACCACCAATCAGCTTCCTCAACCAGATGTTTTCCCTATTTTCAAGGACAAAGGTGGCCCAGAATTTGCCAGCGCACTAAAAAATAGTAAGAATACTTATGCCACTTGGGGATACTTAGAACCACTGGGATACATTGATATACATTGTATTTGTAGCACCACAGAGTTGAAGAAGAGAAGATTTGATTTTAGTGATAATGTGGTACAGCATAGTTTTTACCTTTAAAAAAAAAAACAACCCAGCAATATAATTCTTATCAAATGAGGACAACTTTGATTGAAATTGGTTGGGTACTTGAGTCATGTCTATTCCACTTTTCTTTCTTTTCTTTTTTAAAAAAATTTTATATATGTACTTATTTGAGAGAGAGAGAATGGGGGGGGGAGGAGCAAAGGAAGAGGGACAAGCAGACTTCCTGCTGTGCATGGAGTCCAATGTCAACCTGACTCCAGGAGGCTGACATCATGACCTGAGCGGAAGTCAAGAGTCAGACGCTCAACTGACTGAGCCATCCAGGTGCTTCTGTTCCACTTTTCTCTTATCTGCCTTCACTTTCCTCCTCCCCTTTCCTTTGGCTTTCTGAGTTACTTCTTTAACGCTCAGAGAATTCTTATTTGCAACCCTGCTGGTATAGAACAAAAGAGAAAGAATAGAGAATGGTTGATCCCTGTTCATTTTGGTAGTATGCTTACAAGATGCTTTTGGGGGTTTCTAGAAAACATGTTAGACGTTCTTATTTATATCTCTCTTTGGGTTGCAGAGAGGGAGGGAAGGTGATGACTGCAGAGGGAGGAAAAAGTTTTGGGAGAGAATTGCTGAGCTATAAAGCCCAAGAATTGTAGAAGAGGGATTTAGAAATTGCTTGGTTTGCAGTCCCCTTATTTTACAAATGAGAAAACCAGGGCCCAGAGAGAATGAGTTACCCAAAGTTCTAGAGCTCACTCATGCACAGCAGACCAAGCTCCAGCTTTCCTGCCTTACTGTTGAGAAGTCTTTCTTCCGTACCACCTAGCCCTCTGTGGGCTGTGGGCTGTGTGTCCAAGGGCACCAAAGGTTGGGGGCAGAGAGAGATTTGGGCTTAGTGCACTGTGGTTAGAATTGCTATTCCTTATTTGCATGGTGAAACCTAAGTGTTTTCATTTGTTCTTTAAAAACTTTTTTTTTTTTTCAAAGATTTTATGTATTTGAGAGAGAGAGAGAGAGCGTGCACAAGGGGGGGGGGGGGGGGGGGGGGGGGGGGGGAAGCCTAGGGGGCGGGCAGGGGAACAGCAGAGGTAGAGGCAGAAGCAAACTCCTTGCTGAGCAGAGAGCCTGATGCAGGGTTCAAGCTCAGGACTCTGGGATCATGACCTGAGCGGAAGGCAGACGCATAACCAAATGAGCCACCCACGTGCCCCAAAACTTGTTTTTATTGTATTGTGGAGTTAGAATTGGAAGGAACCTGAGGAGGCCGTCTGCCTCCAGGTAGAATCACCTCAAACTCCAAAGTGAATATGTAGGATTTCTTGGGTAGGGGATTCTGCAAACCTTTCTTGTGGGAAAATACCTGCTTTTTTTTTTTTTTTTTTTTTTTAATAAATATGGACTCTCTGCCACACATGGGGTTTGGACTCACAGTCCAGAGATCAGGAGTCACGTGCCCTACCGACTCAGCCAGCCAGGTGCCCCAGAATACCTGCTTTAATTAGGAATTGCTTCCTACGGTCCAGCCTGTAGATTTTATGTCCTGCTGTACTTGAAGTCAGGAGCCCTGCAGATATTGTGAGGGTAGATCTTTTATATCCCCTCCATTAGTTTTTCTCCCTTCTTCCCTTAAATAAATGATGTTTGGCAGTTTTCAAAATTTTTGAGATTTTTGGAGCACTTAACTGCTATTTCCTTCCTTCTTTCTTCCCTCCCTTCCTTCCTTTTTTTCTTTTTTACTTTCTTTCTTTTTTAAGTAAATTCTTTGCCCAACTAGGGGCTCAAACTCACAACACCAAGATCAAGAGTTGCATGCTCTACTGACTGACTGAGCCAGGCATCCCATTTGTCTGCTATTTTTAATGCCCTGATACCCTAATTCTTGGTATGCTTCAGAGTGAGACCTAGACTGCTCTAGGTTAAATGTCTGAAGTATTTCATGAGGAGACCTTTCCCATCTTGTTATTACTCTTCTTCTCTTCTTGCTTGATACTTTCCTTTCCTTTTTTTTGATTCATCTTAAAATACTGCCTTTTTTTTTTTTTTTTGATTCATCTTAAAATACTACTTTTTAAAGGATTAGTCCATGTCAGGTTGACACATTCTTGGGTACAAGTTTCTTTCTTTTTTTTTTTTTTTAAAGATTTTATTTATTTATTTGACAGAGATTACAAGTAGGCAGAGAGGCAGAGAGAGAGAGAGGAGGAAGCAGGCTCCCTGCTGAGCAGAGAGCCCAATGTGGGGCTCGATCCCAGGACTCTGAGATCATGACCTGAGCCGAAGGCAGAGACTTTAACCCACTGAGCCACCCAGGCGCCCGTTGGGTACAAGTTTCTTTAGCTACTTTAGTATTATTTACTTTTTTTGCAACTGTACTGATCTTCTTATTCTGTGTTTTATTTTTTTGTACTTAACCAATTCTCTCTTTGTCTCACTGGTAAACTCCAGTTACTGTGACAGAAGTCTGTTACTGTCTGACAGGGTGGGTTGTGGTGGAGGAGGGAGAAGAAAAGCATGGTTGTTTAGTGTCACATATTCTAAGATGGGAGAGTGGAGAGTATTCTAATAAGTAGCATTTCTGCGCACCTAAAGGGTGGTTAATTTTTTTTCTTTAAATATTTCTTTTTAAAGATTTATTTATGTATTTGAGAGAGAAAGCATGGGGTGGAGGGCAGAGGGAGAGGGAAAGAGGGTGGGTTCCAAGCAGACTCTGCGCTGAACGCAAAGCCGAGTCTCGCAACCCTGAGATCATGACCTGAGCAGAAACCAAAAGTTGAACACTAACCGACTGCACCATCCAGGCATCCCTAATGTTTTATTTAAGTCATCTCTGCACCCAGCCAGGGGCTCAGAACTCATAATCCCAAGATCAGGAGTTGTATGCTCTACCAACTGAATCAGCCAGCAGTCCAGAGTGGTTATTTTTTGTTTGTTTTCTATCTTCTTATGACAGTATGACAATATGTTGTATACCTCCCTGTGTTGGTAAACAGTTTAAGAAAAACTGGGCTGCATTACTCAGGATATACCATTTATACTGTGTTACATGGCTGGTGTGGAACCCAGCCTGAATTTGTACTGACCCCAGAACACATGCTGGAACTTACCGTCTTTGATTAAATCTCTTGTCAGTTTGCTGGGTCTTTGTTTTGTTTTGTTTTAAAGATTTTATTTATTTATTTGAGAGAGAGAGAGAGAGAACATAAGAGGGGAGACGGTCAGAGGGAGAAGCAGACTCCCTATGGAGCTGGGAGCTCGATGCGGGACTCGATCCTAGGACTTCGGGATCATGACCTGAGCTGAAGGCAGTCACTTGACCAACTGAGCCACCCAGGTGCTCCCCACCCCCCCCCTTTTTTTTTTAAGATTTTATTTATTTATTTGACAGGGAGAGAACATAAGCAAGGGGAGTGGCAGGCAGAGGGAGGGGGAGAGGGAGAAGCAGGCTCCCTGCTGGATAGAGAACCCAATAGGGCTGATCCCAGGACCCTGGGATCATGACCTGAGCTGAAGGCAGACGCCCAACCAAATGAGCCACTCAGGCACCCCAGTCTGCTGGGTCTTAAAGGAGTTAAAGTTAGACCACCTGGCTTTAGATTCTATCTCAGTAGTAGATTTACTTATGTGACCCTGGGCAGGTTACTTAACTTCAGAGCAAGAAGGCGATAGTATGGTTGTGAGGATTGAAGGACAACTGTCAGTGTAAAGCATTAGCACAGTGTCTGGCACATGGCACCCCACAGATGTTAGGCATGGGTATTTTTCTGTTGATAGAGGCATTTGGTAATGATCAGCCATGTGAGTGGTGGCCATCAGTGTAATGACCATCACCGCCACTGTCTTCAATGTTTTTTGACTTTTTATTAGTATTCAGATTTCCTGTATAACTTGAATTAAGCATTCGTTCTAGAAAGTGTAGTATTACATTCTTCTTTAATGCTTATAATTTAGCTTTTGTGTTATAACTATGAAAAGATGACCAGAGATTTCCTTGCCACCAAAGCCAGCTTCTACCTCCTTGAAGCATTCAGTCTTTCCTTGAAATATTTGCCTTTGGTTTTGTTGACACTAGAAATGCTGTTTGGGTTCTTGTGCCTCTCTGATTTCTTCTGGTTTGGGACTCCTTTTATCCTCTCAACGTCTGTTTCCTTTCTTGTGGGATCCTGTTCTAGGTTTGTGTTTTCTTGATCTATTCTCTCCTTGTCACTGCTGTTTACTCTCATAGTCTTAAAATAGCCTCTAAAGAGGCAGAATTTAACCACAGTACACTGATGAGCAGTATGCCATTCTAATGTCAGCACCCTAAACTCTCTTTTTGAGAAACTACGTAGGCATCTTCTTGCTTCCCCAGCACACGTGCACTGAGTCCTCAGTCGCCTTGGTGTTACATGTTGGTAATTATAACTCTTGAAGTGTTAAGTAGTTTCAAAGACATTTTTTGATATTTTAGTAGTTGCTTAAGTAGTAAGTCATAAAGTAACCTTAGCAAAATTAGGGGATTTTTCTGTGCCAAAGGCATTTGGCTTACCTTTTCCTCTCTGTTTTTCTTTTTTTTTTTTTTGAAGTTCTATGGGCCTAGGAGGCCGATCTTTTATGTTGGTGGCAGTAGTGTATAAGGAAGAAGGGAAGTTACTTCAGAAAACCGGAGCATGAGTTATATAAAAATTGTCATGTTGGACTATATCAAACATATATAAAAGCGTGGAGAATTGTGCAGTGAACCCACGTACCTTTACCAGTGAAGCAGTCATCAGCTCCTGGCCAGTCTTATTTCATCTGTGTTTATACTAGCTCTCTCTCTACTTCTGGATTAGTTTGAAGCACACAGTAGAGATTCTGTCATTTTATCAGTAAGTCAGCATGTATCTCTAAAAGGGTTTTTTAGGGCCACCTGGGTGGTTAAGTGTCTGCCTTCGGCTCAGGTCATGATCCCAGGGTACTTGGATCGAGCGGGAAGCCTGCTTCTCCCTCTCCTACTCCCTCTGCTTGTGTTCCCTCTCTTGCTGTGTTTCTCTCTG